CGTCGACTTAAACTGGTTGATTGGTTGGTTATGGTTGAAAATAAATGTGAAACTACTATGGTGAAATGAATTTTTCTTATTATTCTATACCATGGGTTCCAGAGAATGTTTTGTTGTTGTTTTTTGTTGTCATGTTATGTTATGTTATGTTATGTTTGTTTTGTTATTCTTTGTTACTATCGTATCCCTCTTCTCTCTTTCTGTTTCTCGTTAAACTTCAGCTATCAATGGATTCTAAAATCAATGAAATCATTTAAAATCACTATTCATTATCAACACCAATGAGAATGCTAATTAGGTTCAAATAATGAAAGTTTTATTTCATTCGAAACAAAAAAAAAACAATCGACTGTAATTATTGAATTTAATGACTTTAAAATCAATTTAATTGCTAAATTTTTTGATTCTTTTTTTCCGTTATTCTTGTTAATATTTCATCAGTATGAATTTAGTAAATTATTCCACATAATATACTTCTTTTCCTCATCATCATCATCATAATTATAATTTAGTTATAATGAAAAACATTTCGAAACAACAACAACAACAACAAAAATTTGTGACCACAATAATTATGGCATCTAATAATTTTATCACAATCATCGTAATAACAATAATGATGATAATGTCCATTATTTACGACAATGTCCACCACAATGTGCACTAGATTAACAATTGAATTGAAAATTAAATTTGCAATTTTAAATTACATACAACAGGTCTTCAATTTTATTGCATTTTAAATGAAAGTAAACAATCACCATTACCACTATCAATTTTTTTTTCTCACAAAATAAAAGCCTCATGAGATGAAATATATTTAATCTATTTAATTTATTTTTGTTTCAATTTTTTTTTTTTTAATATTCACCATCAACCATCATCAACTTAATTTTTATTTTTCTTTTTTTCATTCTGTAAATGTCAGCAGTTGATTTAATTTGTGAATATGAATGAAAATGTCAAAGCAATTTTTATTTCAATACAACAGCTTCAAAAGGAATTTAGTTGAAGAAAAAAAAACCATTTGAGGTTTTTTCCATCTAGCCTCTTTGTCAAATTTAATTTGACCAAATGAAAAAAAAAAATTCTAGTTCTGTAGGTTGAAAATGTTGTTGTTGTTGTCTTGTTCCAGTCATCCTTATATTCACATAATAATAATAATAATGACCAACTCTATTGTGTTTGCCTAAAAGTGAGTGGGTAAATTGTCTGAATTGTTGTAAATGAAAAATTTATCCCATAAATATGACAATGTGGCATAAATATTTACGTACATCACATATATCACAATTTGTCGATGTAGAAAGAAATTTTTCTCTAAAAGATCTCTCTTGATAAAAATAACAAAAAAAAAAAAAAATTCACACAAATTTCAAATGTGAATGATTTGATTATCACACACATATAGTGGGGCTTCAAGAACATTGGAATAGCAAATAAAAATGTTGACAAATATTCGAAAAAATTCAAGATAGAGAAAAAAAAGTGGAGAAAGAAAAACAAAACACATGACTTTGAGTGATAATGAACTAATATTTAAAAATTTCCATTCTAGAATCATCAATAATACACACACGATTTTTTTTTTTTTTGATGACCATAAATTATTTGAATTTTTATTCCATTTGTTTATACAACTGTCACACACACACACACACACACAACGAACGAACGAACAAACAAACCAGAAAAATTTGAATTTTTTTTATTTTGCCCATATTTTCAATTACATCAACAGCAGAATCGAACAAAAATAAGAACAAAAAAAATGATTCGACTCTCGATTCCAAAAATCATGTATTTTCAATAAAAATTCTACCATCTAATGAGTTATTTTCACAACACAGCAGCATAATACATATTAAAACAGCTTGAAGCAATTTTTTTTTTATTTTTTGTCAAAATGAAAAAAAAATACCATTGGAAAAATAAATATTGTCAATGGAATTTGACATGGAAAATATTTTTTTTTTAATATTTTCTTTTCCCTCCAAAAAAAAATTACCAATAATTTTTCTATTATTGATCAATTGAAATTGAACGTGTAGAAATTGTTGCTGTTGTTGTTGTTGTTGTTGCGGTTATTATTGATGGAAATAATGAATCAATAATTTATTTTTTCTCTCGTTTCACCTACACACACACACACACACACAAACAAATCATCATTATGGTTGGATCTGTTTTATTCACAATTTGACATTTCAAAAAAAAAAATCATCATCATTAGTATAATCAAAAATAAAACAACAAAGAAAACGAAAACGAAAAAAAAAAATTTCGAAATAAGAATCATCATCATCACCATCATAATATGACAATTTGACAATAAACAACAACAACAACAACAACAACAACAAAGACTCAAACACAAACAAGTAGATTTACTACAATTTTCAATCTTTATCGTTATTGATGGTTGTCATTGTCATTCTAACCTAACATCATTATCGTCTTATATCAAGAATATTCTATGACATCATTTTCTTTTTCTCACTCTGTCTCTCTCTCTCTCTCTCTTTATGTGCCTGTGTGTGAGTGTCGTCATCAATGAGTTTTTCTTCGAATTCTTATTTCTTATAATAATTATTTCCTATCATTTCATTTCTACTAATAAATGATGATCATATGTAATTTATTATTCTAGTATTCTCTATCTCTCTCTGTGTGTCTGTGTGTTTGTTTATAATGATCATATATTTTTAAATTATCATTATTTGCCATTAGTGATAATTTTAATTTCATTCGTTTGTTTTGTTTGTGTTTCGTGCTTATTATTCGAAATACTTTTTTCCACAAACTTACACACAAACAAACACAGACATCTTGATAGTGGCAATAGCCATTGGCAAATGAATAAATAAAATTTTTTCTTACATTTTTTGTTGTTGTTTTTTTTTTCGATGATTGAAAATGATGATGAAAGAATTCTGAATGAATATGATAATTTTGTCAGTAAAAAAAATTCTATTTCAACATTAATGGATAAAAATAGCTCGATATTTATTTTTTTTTCTGTTTCCTGTTCCTGACAAACTTTACGCAATGCAATTAAAGTAAATGAATAATAATATTAGTGTAAATAATGTGATTATTATGACAAACACAAATGTGAAGAAAATACCGATAGTTATTACTAGTGGAATGGACTTGTGACAAATTTCTTCATCAAATTGAAATTAATAAACGAACAAAAGCATATAACCAATCAATCACCATTAAAAAGACATGCCAAAAGTGTGATGATTGATTGGCGGATGAATCAAGAATTTTTTTTTTTTGACAAATGACAGATAGAAATACCTAGTTTTTTTTGCCAATGTATTTATTTACATGAATAAAAACATGAATGGTAAACATTTGCTAAATTTTATAGAATTTAACAGAATTCAGAATAATAATTGATTTTATGCGATTATTCATCCACCAACTCATACACATATACATTGATACATATGTTTCATTCTTACAAACATAGTGTTTGAATTAGAATTCTAATTATAGAATCAACAATGACAACAACAATAGCTATCATTTGATCATAATAATCATTATGGAAAACTTTCTGTCATTATCATCAATTTTGTATGAAATTCAAATTAGGGAAATTAAATTTACAAAATAAATTGATAATAATCGCAATGATTAACCAAGTAATGTAAGAAAATTCTGATGAAAACGAAAAATCAATCTAATTATCAAATTAATTTCTTTGAAAATTAACAAGCAAAGAAAAAAAAAACGGAAATTCCAAAAATAGAAATCAATGTTGACTTCACCGTCGAAATTATTTATCATTGTGGAGGGAAAAAAAAAATGAGAAACACTGGACTGTTAGAGAGGAACAAACAAAAAAAAAAACACTGCAATTGTTGAATGAAGAATGGGTAGAAATTAATTTTGTTTCACATTTGTCAACGAATCAAAATCCATCAATGATGAATGAATGGCGATTGAGAATATATGCATTATTATTTTTCCAAACAAACTAAGGACAAAAACTACAGAGTATTTTTTTCCAGAAACAAAAACAAACAAAATAAAAATTAAAATTTAATGGAATAGAAACAAAATTCCATCAAAATCTCTTGAAAACAAAAAATTGTAAAACTCGAATTCGAAATTCAAACACACACAAACACACATACACACACAAGTGACGTAAACACAAAAATACAAAGTAAAAAAATGTCAAACACTTACTGCAGCCGCCAAGGAACTTTGGTTTATTGAAAACCACCGAAAGCAGTGTGGAGATGACGTTCAGCATTATGGGATCACGGTTCACGAGTTGTTGAATTGTCCATGGGCCGATAAAATTAAAATTATTATTTGTTACTATTCATTTGGGCTATATAGCATCGAAATTTAACACATTTGAAGCACAGAATTTATTATTTTTTTTTACATGGACTGTAATTTTCACTAACACACATGATTGCTTGCAAAATATTTTGTACAGTCAATAAGTAATTGAAAATTTGTTCATTTTGTTGTTTTATTTTTTGTTTGTTCTAAATGTAATTTAAATTGACTCATTCTGTTCATGGCTATTCTATAACTATAATGATGATTGTTGAAAAGAATTTCATTTGAAAATTAAATTCCAAAAAGTTTTTAAACAAACTTCAAGAATTTTTTTCGAAACAAATATTTTGGATCTAAAAGGAAAAAAAGGAATAAATGTTTGGCATGGGATTAGTTCATAACTATACACTTGTACATGCTCATTGGATGAATATTGGTTGTTTGTTTACTTGGAATTTTTTTTATCAATGATAATTGAAAGAAAGAACTTTATAATTGCAGTTAATTGATTGATAATTATTGTTTTTATTTTGATTTCCTTTTCTAATTATTATTATTATAATAGATAATTATATCTCAATTGGATCATTAATAATTGATTATTCAACTATTTATTCATTCATTCATTCATGGATTAATTGATCAATCAATCAATCAATTACTATAATAAGTGTGATTAAAGCATTTTTTTTGTAAACAAAATATAAATGACCAATATATATAAATAATAAACAACGCACAGCAACAACAACGAATACGGACACAGATATTGAATGTGGCCTCATCATCATCATCATCATCATCATTGTCCTTGGCAGATAATATTGCAGTGCAGGATAAATTATGGTCAATTCATTATCAATGTCAACATCAACATTAGTAACAACAACAACGATGATAAATAATAATGAAAATATGACAATTTCTCATGTGGCTTCTGTAGCTGATGAAAAATTTGATGTTTTACAACAGGAAAATGATTATTTAATACAGAATATAATTTATTCAATACTTTATTCAACAGTATCATTAGCTGCAATTGGTGGTAATAGTATTGTTATCTATTTGATTATAAATTTTCGCCGTAATCGTCGTTCAGTAACGGATATGTTCATATTAAATTTAGCCATTGGTGATCTATTGATGGCAATATTATGTATACCATTTACATTTACGGCAAATCTATTATTCCATGCATGGCCATTTGGTTCATTAATGTGTCGTTTAGTATCATACGCTCAAGCTGTTTGTGTTTTCATTTCGGCATATACATTAGTGGCAATCAGTATTGATCGTTATATTGCCATTATTTATCCATTAAGGCCACGTATGACTAAACGTCATAGCCAATATTTAGTTGCATTTATTTGGTTAGTTGCTCTTTTGACACCATTACCAACTGCCTTATTATCACGCCTAATGTTACAACAACAACCGATTACGACTGAAACATCATCAAATATTATTGATATTATTGACCTAGAAAATAATCAAACAAATCTTTCCTATTCATCATTATCAATCATGAATCAAACATTCGAATCTGACAATTATCGCCAACAACAACAACAACAACACGTGTTAAATAATAATTCGTTTACAGAATTGATTTCACAAACACCAGATTTACCTCATATTTCGGCAAAAATGTTAAAACATTCAGAGATAGTTAAGCTAAAAAATTTATCATCATTAAGGTAAGTTATCCATGCTTGTTGGATTTATTTGTAAAACAATATGAATTCCGTGATTTCATTCTCTCTTTCATATTTTAGTAATGATAATTCATCCATATCATCATCATCATCATCATGGATGTCAATGGAACCGGAAACATCCTTTTTTATCAATGATTTAACCGGTTATGATAGTGATAATAATGCATTCATTTGTCAAGAAGATTGGAATAATAATCATGAATATCGTACATCATATTCTGTATTATTAATGATATTACAATATATATTACCCTTTACCGTATTGGTATTTACATATACAAGAATTGGTCTTATGATATGGGGACGACAAACACCTGGTGAACGTGATGGTGGACGTGATGCGCGTATTGCTGCATCAAAAAGAAAGGTTTGAAAATAATTTTAGAAAATTGAATGTAGAATGATTTTAATTAATAATCGAATTTTTCTATTTTTACATTAATTTTCTTATTTTTCTCTCTCTCTCTCTCTCTCTCTCTAGATGGTTAAAATGATGATCACATGTGTAGTGGCATTTACATTATGTTGGCTACCATTGAATATATTCATTATAATTGGTGATCATTATCCCAATATCTATCAATATGATCATATTGAATATATATGGGTTGCATGTCATTGGTTAGCTATGTCACATGCATCATATAATCCATTTATTTATATTTGGATGAATCAAAGATTTCGTAATGGTTTTCGTTTTGTATTACAACGTTGTTTTTGTTGTACAAATTCATTACATTCATCATCCTTAAGTGGTGGTACAGGTGGTGGTGGTGGTGGTGGTGGTGGTGTCGGTGTTATTACAAGTCATACTATTCATAATAATCATAATCGTAATCGAATTGATGGTGATTTAGCAACAACAATTGGTTGTGGTGGCGATGTTGATGATCATCATATTACAGAATGTAATCAACAACAACAACAAAAACAATTATTAATGCTGATATAATTACAACGAATGCACGTGATAATAATGATAATCATCATCATATAAATCGAATGAATAAATATGGTAATAAACATTATCGATCATCGATGTTAATGTCGGAATTAACATCATCATCATCATTATCAACGAAACAACAAAAATCATCAATAAATGGAAAATTTAATCGTTCATTATCGATGACAATTGCAAGAAACTTTGATCCACGATTAATTATAAATGAACAAAAATTACCAAAAATGGAACAGCCATCAAAAAAGAAAAAAGTCAATATCATGATTCAAATTCGTGATGGATCAATGAAAAATTCAACAAAAACAAATTTTAATAATGATGATAACAATCATGATGATTGTGGTGATATACAGCAACAAAAACAACAACAATGGCCAACATCAAATAAAATGGATACGATTATTATCAATTTAGATGAACAGATCAATAATAATAATGATGAAAATGATAAAAATTCTGATTGTAAAACTTCAACATCACCAACAGTGCAACCAAAATCATGTCAATCGAGATTTTTTTCCATTGTAAAATCGAATCGTATTTTAACTAAAGTTTTATTATTATCTTTATCATCATCATCATCATCAACAACAACAACAACTACAACAACGACAACAACTTTGAATAAATTGAATTTTAAAAGAAAAAATAACAAAAATGGAAATAAACAGAACCAATGTATTCAACAACAACAACAACAACAACAACAACCAAACAATCAAGAGAATTCAAATAATAGGAATAACAATAAAAATTCTTTTTTTGTTTATTCTGTTTTTGTTTGTTTTTGTATGATGTGTGTGTGTGTGTGTGTTCCAGAAAGAAAAAATTCTTTTTGATTTTGGCTTTTCTTTTTTTCGGATATCATGGATTTATAAAGTGAATCGATCTTTTAATCATCATCAACGATTGTTTTTATTTTTTTTTGTTGCAGGCTGTTTTTAAAGTTTTTCAAAGTTTTTGTTCATTCATTCAGTTAATTTTTTTTTCGATTTATTCAGTTCGATTTATAGTTGTATCGATGATGATGATGATCGTTTTATTATCAATTCATTTAAGTGGGGTTTTTTTCGTTCTATTCGTTACCATTCGTATGTTAACATGTAAACGAATTAGTCGAATAATGTGGTTTTCATCAATTGTTGTCGTCATCATCATCATCATCATCATTTCCGATCAACGATCAATGGTAGAAATGGATGGATGAAATGAACGAAAAAAACAAAACAAAACAAAACATTTTTTTCTCTCACCAATCAGAATAAATGTGAATGAAACCAGAATAACAAAAAAGTGTTATAATTGAAAGAACAACAACAACAACAACAAAAACGAAAACAAAAATCACTTTCTGGTTATCATCTCTATCACTAACCAGACCACCGAAAAAAAAACCTATTCACTATACGACTTGCAAACATAATAAATTTGCTTGATTGAATTGAATTAACAATTTGGCGAACAAGATTTTCTTAATCATATATTGTTATTAGTGTTTTTTTCTGTTCACTTGATTTTTTTTTCTCATTTCAATTGATTCAATATGTCATCATCAATTCAATACTGATGAAGATGTATTTGGGTGGGTGGGTGTGTGTTTGTGTAGCATGTTATGCAATGTGGACATAGTAAATTAAAGGTGGCAAAAAAATAAACGGAAGTTTTAAATATTTAATGATGGCCAAAAATTACTTTGGCCACTTTATATATGGACTGGTTTTGTTATGAATTGTTTAATCTCTTGTCATAGTTTGGAAAAAAAAGAATTAGTGGATAAAATTAGCAAATTTTTTTTTGTATCCTTGTGTGCTTTTGTGTTACAAATTTCATCATCATCATCATCATTAATAATGTTCATTCATTTATTCATTCATTCTTTCACGGAAATTTTGAAATTAAAAATAACAATCCAATTCACAATTTGGCATTTAATTTTCATTAATTTTCTTGTTTTTTCATTCCATTTCATTTATTTAAATTTTAAAATAAAACCAATTCATTTGATTTCAATTGTCATTAGAAAAAAATGGTTGAGAAAAAAACCAATTTCAGATATATGAAAATTATTATTATTCACGATAAAAAGAGATTCTGTTTTTTTTTCGTCAAAAAAAAAAAGAACGAACATGGAAATTATCACCATCATCATGATCATTGTCTGATGAAAATGATTTCTTCTTTTTTTTTTTTGTTGTTCAAAATAAGATTCTGAAATCATGAATTTTAAATAAATCAGATTGTTTTAACTGCAAAAGAAAAAAAAATTCTTTCTATTTGATGAATTTTATGAAATTGAATGATTCACAAATCGACTGGTTGTTGAAGGTTATCGTGATGAGTAAAAAAAAAAAAAAAAAACATTTTGAATTTTTCCCTTTTCGTTGAATATTTATTCATTCATCATTTGAATTTATAATTTTGTCACTGGTTCATTCATTTATTTTGTAAAATTTTTTTTAAATCAACTCATTTGAATTTGAATTAAATTTCATGTTTTGTTTGTGAGAAAAAACATTGAAGAAAAAAAATTTTTTTTCAATTCTTGTTCTTATCTTGTTTTTTTTCTGTACTTGGATCATGTACACTTAAATTCAGTTGTGTATAAAAATAAGCGAACAAAATTGAAAACTTGGCCAAAAAAAAAAATCTATTGACTTTGATCGACATGATTTTTTTCTTCTACGATAACAATAAATATGTACACATGGAATGTGATTTGAATTTTTGAAAGAAAAAAAAATTCTGAACATTTTTAATCAGTAAAAAAAAAAATCATCCTTTAATCTTTTAACAACAATAACAAAACAATTTTCGAGATGCAGAATATGTCGATCAGATGTTTGACTTTAACATGTTGTATAGTCATCTAGCCTTTTTTGTTTCTTTCTTTATGTCTGATGATCGATGTGAAATAATGTGTTGATTAAAAATCTTTGAAAATCCATTTTTTTTCGTTTCGGTATATAAAATGCAACACACACACACACAAGTGAACCACAATAATAATGAAAAAAAAACAACAATATATAAAATGAAAAAGAGCGATTCATTCAGAATATATTCTATCCATCCATATAGTTATGTCAAAAATTACTATGGTAAACAGAACAGAATTAATTAAATCATTATCACTATTAATGTTATTATTGCTTTTTATGCAAATTTTTTTTTCATCATATCATCATGTGGAATAATGATATTCTTCTACCATATTTTTCTACAATTATTATCATCTAAGAATGGATGACATATGTGGCTTGTTGTTATCATCAGTGTCGATATGTATTGTAGGATTTGTAATAGATTCAAATTTCGGCGGTTGATTTAATATATTTCAGAAATATTTAATACCAGCACCCTATCACACAGAGAAAACAAAAAAAAAATTTTTTTTTTTTTTTGAAGCATAATTTTGTTGTTTTTGCTGCTGTTTGTCTATTTCAACAATTTTCTCGCCATTTATGAATTATCTAAAAATATATTTGCGTCATCATCATCTACAGCAATTATTTTAGCAAATGAAATGTAATTGAAAAGAGTGGGAGAAAAATAAATAAATAAATGATAATATTCTTTACACGATTCAAATGAAAATTGTCGCTATCGATCATCTGATGTGTAATATTGTATTGAAATTATGATACATATATGAAAACAAAAACCCCGATTTGTTTATCCATACAATTCCAGTATTCGGACATACAAATTCCTGTACAATTATTGATCAAAAAGAATCAGCAATCTTGTTCTCTGTTGCCGTTATAATATAATCAATTATAGTTATTGCGTAGCTGTTTGTGCCAGAATTATTGATGATGACAATGATCATCATCGTCATCGCCGTTATGTAATGAGTTTGTTTTGTTTGGAATTGATTTTCGTCAACAATAACAACAACAACAACAACAAAAATATTCAAATTTTTTTCCGTTTAAATTTGATTGTTCAATTACAATTTACATTTAAATACACAAAATAAAAGAATAAAAAAAACAGAAATGAATTATTGTGAAAAAAAACAAACAAATCATATCATCATTTTCGAATAAATTCATTTCATTTAGTTTAACTTTTCAACAACAATAACAACAAAAGCAATTTTTTTCAATATAATAAAGTGTCACATGCACACACAACAACAACAACAACAACAACAACAACAACTACAACAACAGTGAAAAAAATTAATTAAAATTCCGATTTTACGATTAAAATTAATGTTCATTTAATGATAATAATTCGATTATGATGATGATTACGTCGTTTGTAAATTAATATTACGAAAAATATCCCACTACAACCATCCTGCTGAATCAACACACACACTGCCACAACTGTGTGTTTCATGATTGTTTTTTGTTTTGTTTTGTTTTGTTTCTATCTCATCATCAATTCGATTATATATATAGAATTAATTCGTAAGTAGAATCAAATCAATCAATTTTTTTTTGCCAATGATGATCAATGAACAGGAATGATATAATAATTCGATTTATTATACACAATTAAGAAAGAAAAAGAAGAAAAAGAAAAGAAAGAAAAAAAATATGGCAATTAATCGATCAATTGGATAGCAGATCACTTGATGACGATAATGGAAATAGTTTGGATCACAATCGATGAATGTGATCAATTACAATTACAAACTTCATTCATTATTCTATTAGGATTAAATGAAAAACATAAATATCATATATAGATAGATATATTTACGTCTATATTGCGTGAATGGTGAATTAATTTGGAATTTATCGCTTTTATATCTGTGGGTGTGTATTTTACACATTTTTAAAGCAACAAAAAAAATCAATTCTATGGCCTATATTGTTCAGCCTACAATCATCAAATTAAAAATATATGAAAACTTAATTCTGTTTTGCACACAGACAAAAATTCATCATATAATTCAAACAGAAATGAAATGGGTGCCAATTGTACCAGTATTTATAATAATAATCATGATGGTAATAATCAACATAAACAACAAAAAATTCGTAAAAAACGACATGAAAAACAACAAGAACAACAACTAATTGAACAATTACGTTCAGTTGATAGTGGACAACGGCAATCACCAATCAATATTGACACAGCAATTGTTCATTTGAATTCCGAACTAAATGATTTGAAACGAACAAAATGTTTGAATATTGTTTATCCAAAATTAATGTCCAATCTAATTATACAGAATACTGGTTATGGTTGGAAATTAGATATACCGGAAATGATTGCAGCTAAAACAGGTAAATATATATTTGTTATTGAATTCATTTTTGATTGATTTCCACATTTTCAATGACCAACATAAAGAATGGCAGAATATTTTTATTTTTTTCCATTCTAATTTTTTTCTTGTAACGTTAATTTATTTATTTTCCTTTCACACCAGAATTGATTGGTGGCCCATTAAAAGGACATATTTATCGTATGTGGCAATTTCATTGTCATTGGGGACCAAATATAAATGTTGGTTCTGAACATACAGTGAATAAACGTAGCTATTCAGCTGAAGTAAGTAAAAATAAATAAAATAAAATAAATAAAGGGAACATGAAATTTTTTGATAAACTAATCATCATCATCGTTAATGTTAATGTCCAAGCTTTTATTAGAATGATTCAAATATAATTAGAGTAAAGTAAATGTAAATATATTTATTTATTTCCATTTCGATTAATTCTGGCTATTTATTTTATATATTTCATAAATATATAGCTTCATTTTGTTCATTGGAACACATCATTATATAATGATCCAAATATAGCATTATCACAGCCAACTGGTTTAGCCGTTGTTGCCGTATTTATTGATATTGGTTATCAAATAAATGATGGCTTAGAAAAAATATTACGACAAATCGATACTATACAATATAAAGGTGATAAACGTATGGTTAATGAACCGATTGATATTGAAAAATTAATACCAACAAATCGTTCATATTGGACATATCAAGGTTCATTGACAACGCCACCATTATTTGAATCAGTTACATGGATCATTTATACAACACCAATTTATGGTACACATGAACAGGTAATAATAATGATGACGATTGCTATACTATATACATTATTATTGTCTTTAATTTTTTTTTCATTTCAAAGATTGCCAAATTTCGTAAATTATTCTATTCAAGTGAAATTGAGGCAAATTTTGGTGGATATCTTGTTGAAAATTATCGCCATACACAGCCATTAAATGGACGTATTGTTAAATTTTTTCGTGATCCAAATTCATTATTATCATCATCATCATCTTCATCGACAACAGCGATTGAATCAAATGAAATTTTTAGACAAAATCAAACAACAAGAATGATGAGATTGATAAACAATAATAATAATAATAATAATAATCAATCATTGTCAAGGGAAATGATAAATTCCAATCCAGTTGCATCATCATCGACAATGATGAATAATCGAAATAATAGAATTGTACATAATAATGTAGCACAATTCTTGAATCAAAATAACAATAGCAATGGCCGACAGAATAATTATAACAATCAACAAAATAGAATGATGATGATACGACGACAGCGACAACATCAACTACATTCAAATCAATCGAGATGATCGATCAAAATCAATCAATCAATCAATCAACCAATTGTGTATGAAAAAAAAATTGTTAGGAAAAAATATTTAACAATGAAGAAAATTTGTAATTTTCTCTTTACGATCATTTTTAATCCATGAATGTTTTCTTCAATGACACATGGATTATGTTGTTTTCTCTTTCTCTCTTATAATCATCAACAACAACATTGCACCAAGGATTCCTGATGATGATGATGATGATTATATCTCTCCACCCCCCCAAAAAAAAAATCTATAGAATTAATAAATTTTTTTGTTGTTGTTGTAAACTTTTTATTAAATCCTTTTATGTGATTAACCTGATAACATCGTTTGAAAATGACATCAATTTTTTCAATTTTATAAGATTTATTCTGTCAAAAAAAAAAAAAAAGAAAGTCGAAACAAAAATGTATTGTGTGGAAAGAAAAAAATTTAAAAGTCTAAATCTTTCGAATGCATTTGGAACAAAAAAAAATCATAGAATAAAAGAATTTTGTTGTTTTTCTTTCTTCTTTAGTAAAAAAAAGCTTTCTTCTTCAATAATAACCATAATGATGATAATAGTTTTACCCCATCAATCAATCAAACATTTTTTTTTTGCAGACATGAAATTATCCGTAGAAACAACAGAATTTTAAGATTCTGATCAAAAAAAAAAAAAAAAAGCAAAATGAAATATAAAAGTATTGAATTAATGAATAAATTTTTTGAGTTTGGTTTCACATTTGGAAAAAATGGATAATTTTTTCTTCCCTTTGGATGGATAGTTTTTCATTCTTATATCCTAAGGGTGTGTGGGTGTGTGCACAGAATTCCTTTTTTCTTCTTGTTTGTTTTTTTTTATTTTCAATTTCAGTACAGCAATAGATTCTGGATTATTTAATATTTTCGTTTTTCTGTTGATTGGAGAAACGTGTAAAAAATTTTTGATGTGATACATATAAATATGTAAAAAGTCGAAAAAAGAGCTAGTTGCATTTTAATGAATAAACAATTTATTTCAAAGACAACAACAACAAGTTCATTTCATATTTCATTCGATAATGAAATTTGATCTTTAGAAATTCTTCAGTGATTCTTTAAACAGGATGCAATAAACGTGAGTGCAGTGTGTGTGTTTGTGTGTGTGTGTGTGTGTGTGTGTGTGTGAAGAACAAGAACCAAGAATTCAAATAACAATCTCTTTTTATTATTCTTCTTCAATCATTCTTAATCATTATAGCCCGTGGCTTAATGATTGAGAATGGAAACAGTATACTTAACGAAATGAAAATGGAATAACCGAAACGAATAACGAATAATTGGAGGAAGAAAGAAAGAAATAAAGAAAGAAAAAAAAATGCTGATTAATGATATTTGTTTACGGGCGGTGTGTGCTACATATATGTGGAATGTAAATGAAATTTGATTACGAGAAAAAGAAAATTTGTCTCATGTTCGGAATTAAAATTGTTTCTATTTTGTTTTTGGAAATGATTTTGACATTTGATTTCTTCTTTTTTTTTTGGTTCGTATACTGGATCTATGTATAGAATCAGTTTTTCTTGATGACATCGATTCATTTTTTTTTCTTTGTTCCGTTATCAAAGGTTTTACTGGGGTAATATTTTCGTTGTCATTGTTGTTGTCAATTGATACGAATCAATACGTTTAGATGGCAAGTGTAAAATTATCACCATTTTCTTCATCTACAAGATTCTACATTGATGATGATCGATTTCAAACGAAAAAAAAAATTTGTTTTGTTTTATTTTTGTTATGATCGGCTATTTTTTTTTTTTTTGTTGATAATTCTTTATTGAAATGTCAACCGAACCCCTGGGAGTTTTTATTGTTTGTTTGTTTCAATCGATAACAACAACATCCATATGAAATCGATTGAAATTGAATTTTTTTTTTTTTTTTGAAAATCCAACTACAAATTTTTTGTTCAGAATATCAAACGCCATCTATCGGTAAATTTCTGTTTGTTAGTTTTTTTTTTTTTTGAAAAATTTTTCATTTATTTATTTTGTGGTGAACAAAATCAAATCACCCATCTGATTCATTCAATATTTATTTTTTACTCGATTTAACTGGATAATGTATTTGACCAGCCGGAATTCCGGTAATCGGTTCATTAGTGATTGATGAAATTCGATTATTCGATGATCCTACATGCGTATCGATAACCGGTACAGTTTCAATGATTGGTGTTTGAACATTGGTACTATGTATTGGTTGTATTGGTTGCTGATGATGAGGATTGGGATAATGTTGCTGATGATGATGAGGATAATGTGGCTGCTGATGTGGATAATGTGGTTGCTGATTTGGATGATGGCTAATGGCAGTTCCAGGCACGATTCGTATCGGTTGCTGCTGCTGATGTTGTTGTTGTTGTTGTTGATAAATTAAATGTGGTTGAAACATACGTTCCAATTCATCTTGCATATAAACATATCGAATTCCACATGGTGAATCATCCGTATGAATGGCGGTCCAATATTTACTTACACCATCCCATGGTTGTATAGCTGAATTTAATGGTGTTGAATATTTTAATAGTCCACGATATTGAAGCCATGGCACGACAATGTTTTCCATCTCCCAAAGAAAACTACGTGGTTGATAACCAGCCGGTGGTTGATGATTACAAACAATTGGTGGCTGATATTGGCTTGATCTACCAGCTATAATAGAATCGTCGGCAGTATGGGCAGAAGCCGTCAATGCAGGAATTGAAGCAGAAGAAGCAGTAGTTGCAGCAGCAGCAGCTGGAATAATTTCATTTACAGCCTTATTGTCAGCTCCATCAAATGATCGACCAACAACAAAAATTGTTGGTTTTCTATATTCAACAAACGATTTGGGACGAGATTCAGAGCCCGATTCAGATAATGGAATGATTGAAGCAGTTGGATAATATTTTTCATTGTCAATATTTTGATGACCATATGAAATCGGTATCATATAACCGGAACCAATATGACCACCAACAATTGGAGAATAAGTTACAGGAATATTTTGTTGATAGTAGCCATCCGATGATGGTGTCCATGAATAATAATGACGACCTTGATATGATGGAATAATTTTCTGTTGATAGATCAAATCATTCTTATCAGTAATTGTATCGGGTGAATACAATTTTGGCCGTTGTTCTTGTCGTTTTTGTAAAAGTTGTGGTTGATGGTGGACACCATTTACAGCCACTAATAATGTGGTCAAAATGATTATGAATTTCATAATTGTAATTTCGTTGTTTATTTTGCTCGCGAAGGTTTTCTATTTTTCAATTTTTTTTGTTGATAAAAAAAAATAAATAAACTTGCCAAACTTCACTTGCAAATGAATGAATTTATTTAATCACGCTTTTTATGTGAAATTTTTTTTTTATACCACAGATCATTATCAACAATAATGATGATGATGATGACGAAAACAACCAATCAAAAAGAATTCTTGTAATAACAAGAATATCAGGTGGTTAGCAACAACATCAAATGAATGGATAGAAGCGAAATTGAAATAAGTTTGGGAAAAAAAACTTGAATTTAATCTTGCTCTGATTATCTAAAAATCACTAAAAAATATCATGGTCTAGCCGATAAATCAATCTACATTGAATTAAGTATTGGGATTTTCCAATAGTTATTTTACTGTCTCACACACACACACAGAATTAATGCCAAATAAAACTAGCAACAGTCCACTTGTTAATTAATTAAATTTTTTTTGAAATTTGAAAATTTTCCATCAAAATGACAACAGACAGACAAAAAAAAAATCGAAAGAGGAAAAATCTGGATCGTGTACTTGTTACTGCTGTTGCTACTATTGTCGTCGATTGTCTTTGTTGTTGTTAATGATTTGATTTATATGGAATTTAATTTGAAAATTTTTTACTTTTACTTTTCTCAGTCATTCTTTACATATGTTTTTTTTTATTTTTGTTTTTTCTAGGTCATCGTTTCTATATAACATAATCTTACTGATGATGATGCTGATAATCATCTTTTCCAACACCATCACTCGATATATTGTGTTTTATCAAGCAAAGAAAACAAAACAAAAAAAAAAATCGAAATAAATTATTTCGAATCAAGAATTACATTGATCTATAGATTTTACATTTTTTTTTTCGTTGTTGCTAGGTGTATGTGTGAAAATTATCTGTATACAGATTATGAATGGTTGGATAGTTTTTTTCTTAAATTTCTATCCAAAATCTGTTGAAAATTTTATTATTAGTTTGATCTTAATGAAATTATCAATTTTTTTTATTGATTGATGAATTTAATGAATTATGGTGATAAATCAATAATTTTTTTTTCTAGTGAAAAAAATTTTCGATGAAGCCAAAAAAAAAATGACAAAATTCTCAGGAATCGACATTTCTTACATGTAATCATCCCACACACACACACACACCTACACACATATCAATTTCTTGTTATGATTTAAAGGATTTTTTATGTCATTTTATTCATTTATTTCACATTTAATCAATTATTCCAGATTGTTACAGACAACATAATCACACAGGAAAAAATGACAAAAAAATGAATAAAATAATTTGACCAGCACAATTGAATGGAAAAAAATAGTAAATTTAACCGGGGAATGAAAATTTAGTTGGGATTACCGAAAAAAAAAAAAAATCAATAGAAAGCTGGTCGTGTTAAATGGTGATGAAATTTATTTTTTATATCCATAATATCCATAGCCACCAAGACCACCAAAAAGTGAATAAGATGGTGATGCCCAACCATATGTTTTATATGCAGCTGGAACAGTTGAATATGCGGTTGTTGGAATACCATAATTCTGAACGATTGGAGCAGCAGCATAAGATCTAATCAATGGTGATGAATATGAACGATATCCAAATGGTGAATAGCCATAATTATATGCTAATGGTGAATAGCCATAACCATATGAAGACCATGGTGATAAATAACGATTACCAAAACCAAGACCATAATATGATCCATAACCCATTGTTGGATAATTCCATGCATAACCAAGACCACCGGTTGCTGTTGCAACGGCAACAATGGCAGCGAATACAACAATAGCTGTGATGAATTTCATTTTTGAAACAAATAAAATTTTTTTTAAATGAATCAATATTTGAAAAGAAAAATCGATTTGAAATTTGATGGTTCAAAAAAACATTTCCAAAAGGGTTTTTATATGTGAAAAAAAACCATCATCATCTCTCCAAAATCAATCAATAAATTACGTTTTAATTGTGAACAAAAAAAAAAATCACAACGTAATATGTAATGACCATTGATTAGATTATTATATTACCAGTTACAGGTAAAGCAACAATAACAACAACAACAACAACAACAAAAACTAGATTCAATCATCATCAACATCGTATTTGAATGATAATAATCATCCATTAAAATCCAAATCATTAAATAAATTTTGATTGTGTAAATAAAAAAAAAAAAAGGGTACTATCAAGACGACGACGATAAACATGATTTTTGTTTATAATTTCTTTTTTTTCTGCATTTCTTCGTAACGAATGTATATCGAATTTATTAATCTTTAAAATATTTTATCATTACTGCCATTTGTCGCTGTAGTTGTTTTGTTTTGTTTTGTTTGTTTGTATTTGGAAAATCCAAATAATCAAGAGGTTTTAAATTGAAAAAAACTGAACACAATTTCCATTATCAAGTGAATTGAATTGAATAAATCGATTCAAAATTGTGATTATTGTTATTGATAATTTTTTTTCCATTCGTTTAAAAAAGGTAATGGTTTTTGATTTATCGATGTTTTTTTTTCAATATGATGAAAAGTAATTAAGATCACAAATACATGGTTCAAGGTTGTTTGTCAGCATAATTCTGATAATGATGATGATGAAAAGATGGCCAAAAATTTAGAATCAGAAAAATTATTGGCACAAGGAATTTAGTCAGATTCATCTCAAACAAAGTGTCGACAAAACACACAATAATATAAATGATGATAAAATAAAATGGCCAAGAAAAATGATTCGGAATTCTTTTCGATCTTCTATTACTAAATGAACAAAAAAAAATTATCATTAAAAATCAATGGAAAGTAAAAAAAAAATTATGATAATCGAAACTCATATTATTATTATTATTGTTTGTGTGTGTGTATATATACATGAATGCTTCTGACGTTATCATCAACCAAAAATATTTTGCGATTAATGAAGCGTTATCATCATCATCATCATCATCGTTTTTTTTTCGTTTTTGTTGTTGTAAACACATATTAAACAAATAATATCTTTTAATGATGACAATCTCATGGATCAAATGTATCGTTCAATTTCAGAACTCCATTTTGTTTTTTTATATTCAATGAACACAAACACAATAACAAACAAATTATTCTTTCGAATTCTTTCAAAGAACAAAATATTATTGTATACCAGTATTTATTAATGAAAGATCGAGGTAACACGTTGTTTTTATACACTGCTGCTGCCCTCTACCGTTGTTGTCGTGAAATTGATACAACATAAACATAAAAAAAATTGAAAAAAATCGAAATTTTTTTTTCTCGAAAACACAACACAACGAGCTTGAGGACCAAATTCTTTTTTTTTCTAATTTTCAGCTGGATCCTTTTTTTCGATTTTCACGTTGATATATTTACATTTTCATTTCATGGGATCAACCACATAAATGACAACAACAACGAGTGAAAAAAAAATACCAATCATGAATTGTGAAACGAAACAAATTAATTTATCAACACCGATTTGTTTAATTGAATTGTCATCTTGTACGCGTGGTTTACATTCAATTAAACGTCGTATACGTCTTGAATCATTGGAACAAGAAAAAACAATTTCAACAAATCAATTAATTCCTTGTTATCGTTTGGATGAAACATTGATGTTTGATAAGAATAAATATCCCGATTCATTGCTTCAAGCAATCCATTGGTTTCGACAATATTTCAGTAATGATGGTCAGCCAGATCTAGATGTCTATGATCTAATGGAAAAATCACAACTTTTATGTCCACAAATTCAACTGACAGATTTTGCACATAAAACTTATCTACAATTACTTAAAAATGTTCGATATGGACAACGTTCAACTTATGGTGAATTATCCGAAATGGTAATGGGTAATAATCGTGGTGCTAGAGCCATTGGAACGGCAATGAAAAATAATCCATTAATGATAATGATACCATGTCATCGTTTAGTACAAAAATCCGGTAATATTGGTAAATATGGTGGTGAAGAAGATTCAATGAAACAATGGCTACTTGATCATGAACAGGATAATGATCGTAATCAACCAGAAAGGAAAAAACAACGGGAATTTTGATTTTTTGTTTTTGTTTCGTCGTCACATCTTAACACATTAATCATAAATGAACTTGTTTTCCAAATAAAATCATATAATAATTTTAATAACAACGACAACGGTGTGACGACGAAAAAAAAACAAGGCATGTTCATGAAATACTGGGAAATAAATGTTTAACATATCCGTTTTTTTTGAAAAATAGGCTGAATAGAAATAGCGATAAAAAACTAATCTGAAGACGACATGTCATCAAGCATAATTACCATCATCATCATCATCATAATGATGGTATCACAGGTGAGCAATTATTATCACTGGAAAAAAATTCATCACATTTTTACATCCGGTTGGATGAAGCAATGAAAATACTTTAAAAAAAACATCAAACACACACGCACACACACCCATAGACAGATACCGAGATTATTTATTTTCATTTTTTCTATAGATGTTTTCTTGGACCATTTCGTTGCAATGAGAATAGATTTCAACAGCATGTTTTTTTTATTAGATGATTAAGTTGAATTTTTGAAAATTTATTTCGTATTCTTGAAAATAGAAAATTCATTTTTTTTTCTAATTTTCATTTACGAGCCTGGGACAGGCGCGAAACTCCTGTATACACCGGGCTTGTTTTCATTTATTTCCATTGTTGATTTTTTCGGATGTTTCCTGGATGATGATGATGATGATGATGGTGATGATGGTTGTGATCATCATAATCGTAATCATAACATGACAACCGACCGACCGACCTAATTTCATATCATTTCAAATCATATTTGTGTTTAGCGTAAAAAAAAACAACAGAAAAAAAGGTGGAGAAATTGTTTAATTTTTAACAAATTCAATTATAGCCCAGTAAAAAAAAAAAAAATATTTTTATTATTTGGATTTGTTCGGTATTTTTATGCTGTTATTTTCATTCATTCCAAAATTGTTTTATAATTCAATAATGGTCGATCCACCATTTATCATTTTGATCATTTTGATTACGATGATGATGGTATTAAGGTGATTTTGTTTTGTGTCTATGTCTAACTAGATTAAATCCTTATATTCATTCATTGTTTATTATTACGACACATTCATTGAACGTATATACGTTGATTTGAGATTGGAGTTTTTTTTCCAATGTTTTTCAATGTCATCATCATCATCATCATAATGAATCTTTGTTTTTTTGTGTGTTTTGTTCCAGAAACAATCAATATGTTGAACATACACACACACACACATACAGGTCATTTTATGATGATTTGATTACAAATTGATCCAACATATAATGATCGATTATTATGATAATCATCATCGATCATTCATTCAATGTCAATCGAATGACATTTTTCTTGGGTCAAAATTTTAAATTATAACAACAACAACAACAAAATCAAATAAACAAATAACGTAAAAAAGTATTGAAATTATTGAAAATCAATATTTCATCACCATCATCTTATTTTATTGTCATTGTTATCTCGACATGATACCTCGTTCGTTATTATTGTTAGGTTCATTCACAGTGGCCAAAGGTAAAAGAGAGAGAGAGAGAGAGAGAGAGAGAGAGACGTGTGAGTGTGTCAAAGAGAAAATATTACAATCCTTTACAAGCTTGGTGATGTTAGTTTTGTGTTTGTGTGTGTGTGTGTGTGTGTCAAACCATCGACAACTACAATGAGAAAAAAGCATTTCGATGTTTGAATTAATAAAAAGATGTAAAGAAAAGTAGTAAATGAAATGTGTGTGTGTGTATGGTGAGAGAGAGAAAGAATGTGAAAAAAAAACAATCCATAATAACATTTGAAGATGATTTGAATTTGGAACTTCTTTTTTTACAATTGCTTTTTCTTAAATCCAAAATTTGGATTTTAAATATTGAAAAAAAATCGATCGCAATACATACGAATTGGAAATTGAATGAAAAAAAAGTGAAATTTATTTCTACATTTTTCCTGTTTTGTGTTTGTGTTTGTATCCAAATGAATTTCGATTTGTTGTTGAATTTTTTTTATTTTTTTTTGCATTTCCAATTGGTCTGTGGTCAGTTCAAGGCCATGTTTGTGAAGAATTCAAAAATAAGTGAGGTCATATGTCATGTGAATTGTGAAGAAAAATAAAAAAAAACCTGAGAAAAATTACCTCTGTGTGTGTGTGTGTAACATTAAAAAGAAACCTGTTCGAAAATCATGTGAAATGTAAAATTGAATTCAATCATCATCGTCTTCGTTGTTAGTATGACCCTCCTCACCTTTATCAACCTTCGAATTACGAATTGAATGACGGTAGTGGCTTGGATGGTGGGTAGCTTGTGGAATTTGTTTACTTATCTTCAAATACATTGGTCATTTCGATTTGTTAGTTCGTTTTTTTTGTTGTTGTTGTCGTTGTTGTCTGACCATTTTGAAAATCAACGTGTTCACCATAATTTACCAATAAAATTGTTCGTGTTCAACTTTTACCTTTTTTGTGCTTTTGTTACAGGTGAAAATAAATCAGTTTTTTTTTCGTCATAGTTGTTCGATGGGTAAAAATTTCACAGAAAAAAAACGTTTGGTTTAGACCACCACTACAACAACTTGAAAAACTACCCTGGCCATGGTCAATTTAAAGCAGAACTAAAAACACAGAGAAGACAGGTTTTCAATCATCATGCTAAACAACATTGTTGTGTTGTATCGCCACAGACAAACCAACATAACCGTCAAATATTTGAATGAAAATTTTTAAATTTTCTCACGTTTTCTCAAATTCTGTGCCAAACCGGATTAAGAATAATGTTCACTATTCAATAACTATATATATTGTCATATAAATTTTTTTTTTGATTTTGAATCAACCATTTGAAATAATCAATTTATCAATGGATCGATCCATATTTGATCAATCATTCAATGTAAATGATGATGATGATTTTTTATTATCAACAATGTCAACTAGAATATCGGAGACAACAACAACGGCTATATTCGATACAACAATGTTGATGATATTATCAAACGATACGAATGATGTTGATAATGGTGAACAATCATTATCATTATTATCATCGGATACATCATCATCAATATCTATGATGAATAACAGTAATAGTTATAATCAACCATATGATAATGATGATCTTCAACATCATCAACAACAACAACAACAACAATCAAATATTTATTATAAAATAATCAATATTTTGAAAGAAATAATCATCGATTTATTCGAAGAATTAGATCCAATAGCCATTGGTCTAATTGTAGCGGCCATTATGATTGTCATCATTGGTATAATGGCAATTATTTGCCAATATCGTACATGGCGTAAATCACAATTAATGATGATAAGGTATGTTGATTTTGATTTGTTTTTCTTATTATTATCATCTTCATCAACATATATCATCTACATTAATATTTTTCATTCAAATGACCGGAAATGTTTTTTTTCTTTTTTCCTGATTTATTTAGATCATTTTAAATTAAAAATTTACAAACACACACACACAAATGCATCCGGAATGTGTTTGTGGTTGTTGTTATTATTGTTATGTTCCAATTGGAACACACAACGAACGTGATGAAATGTATTATTTGATTCTAATAATAATAATAATAATAATGTTTGTTCACTTCGTTTTTTTTCTCGTTTCTTTTGATTTGAATTTCTATTTTTTTACAGCACGATTTTTTCCGGCTTTTCTAATATTGATTAAAGTCGATTTCCCCCTCCCCCACACACATACACTATTATTATTACAATCAAATTGAATGTGTGTGTGTGATATAAAAATGATTCAAATAATGGAACAATGATGATAATGATGGTGGTGGTAGTAATGTTTCATCAACAACATTACATTGGTTCTTAAATTGGCCAATTTTTTTTCATTTCTTATTTCGTTGATCGTTTGTTTGTATTGTATGTTTTGTTGAATCGATGCATTGTCAGCAATTTGATTTTGTATTTGACTGATAAATCTATTGGAAAATTGAATAAACCATAGACCGTAAGAAAAAGAAGTAGACGAAAAAAAAAATCAAACAAACAAACAAACAAAAAAGTTTCAACAACAATTCAGAATCGATTGTGATTTAATTCAATTCATTTTGGATTCAATTTGAATAGATTCAATTAAATTTTCAATCAAAATAAAGATAATTGAAAATGAATATAACTTGATTGAATCATGAGAATAATTGTGTGATGAAAGTAAAGTGTTTGAATTACAGGGAAAAATTAGTTCCGGGCATTTCACAAATTGATTTGATCGTCATTTTTTATTACTTTATTTTACAAATATTTTCATTTCATTCATATTGAAATTGTTTTTATATTTGAATTATTGAAAAAATAATCAATCAATGATTGATTGATAATCACCAGTAATCGGATTCAATCAACCAATATTTTTCTTTTTTTCTGATTCGAATCATTGTGATTAGGTCAAGGATCTTTCTTGTTGATTTATAAAAATAGTCGTTTTTGCCTTTTTTCTTCTTTATAAAATGAATGAATGAATGAATGAAAATCAAAGGCTAACATATCATCATCTTTGATTAAAATGATGATCGTGATCTTTTTCTTGGCCATTCAACTCTTTCTGTGTATTTGTGTAAGATGAAAAAGTTCCGCATTCTATGATGATGATGATTAGAATTACCTGTTTTTCTTTTAGAAAGATTTGTGTAAATTGTTTTTTTTTGTTTTGTTTTCTTTCTTTCTCATCTTTTTTTTAAGTATATATTGTTTATATGATGATGATTATGACACTTGACACCAAAATTGATGATGTGTTCAAGTGTGGCATGTGGATTTTCGCAAACATTTTCTATTCAAGAATATGAATTTTTATTGATTTTTTTCTTATCATTTTTTTTATTATAGTAAAAACATCGATACAAATAGCTGGTTGGAATATAAATTGGATCGAACAAAACTGGCTAAACATGATAGTTTTCGATTCTCATCAAATAATATCAATAATAATATGGTAGCTGATGACGATAATAATGATGGTTCACGATCATCAATAATTTCATCATCATTACCATTACCATCACCGACATCATCATCATCATGTTATTATCATGATGAATATAAACAACATAAACGGCTGATTAAATCTTGGTGTTGGAATAAAACATTGGCTAAAGATAATCGCAAACAATCAGCAATGAAAAAACAGCAACCAAAATGGCCAATAAATTCATATTATCATCAACAGCATCAACATCATCGTCATTCATCATCATTATCATCATCGACCATAGGTCTATTTGAATATCATCATCCAAATGATTGCATGATAAGATCATCAAATGGTTATTGTAATCAAAATAAAATGATGCAGTTTTCTACAACAAAAAATAATCATCCACATCCGTATCATTATCGTAATAATTTTAAAGCATCAAATTTATTACTGTATAATAACAATAATATCAGTAATTGTAACAATTATTTGGAACATCCTTACAATATCTATGGCAATATGGTAGCCATATCGAAATCGTTACCGAAAATTTTACCACCATCATCATCACCTATTTTTATTGTTGATATTCCAACAAAATCATTGAACGCTTCCGATATGAATAAAAATAAAATGACAAAAATGAATAATAAGAAAAAGAAGAAAAAGATGAAAACGAATATAAAGAATGATAAAAAAATGATGAAAAAATCAAAACCATCATCATCATTATTATTATTCGGTAAAAAACGTTATTATCCAAATTCGAATAATAATAATAATAATCAAACAGATTTGCAGCCATTTTTTTCGATAAAATCATCATCATTGTCAACATCATCATCAACTACACGTTCTAATAAAGCTGCTATTTCTATTGTTGAAAGAACAAATAATAATCATCGATGTTCACTATTGAATGATCATCGTGATTATGAAATACAAACTGTTGAAATGAATTTAACTGGATCGGATGATGGTGATGAATCTATCGATGGTGATGATCATGATCATCGTCAACAGCAACAAAAACGAGAAAAATTACCGTCAATCGAACATAATCATCAATTGTCATCATCATCCACATCATCATCATCATCAACATCGGCAATGAATAATCGTCAACGACAAAGAAAAGATCCGAACCGTTTTTCAAATAATAAATCAATGTCTAATCTACAATCAATGAAAAATAATAGTTTCATACAACTAAATGATCGAAATCATTCCGCTACCGTAACAGCTAAGAATCCATTATACATGGAACATAATACATCATCAGAGTAAGCTAATAATAGAAATATTTTTGTTATAAATCATTTTTGTTTTCAATCACTAAATTTAAAATTTTTTCTTTTCCACAGTGAAATAATAATGGATAATAATAATGTGACCAAATTCGATGGCCATCAAATACCGATATTTCGATCACAATCATATCATAATATAACAACACCTTGCATCAATGCTATTGCCAAAAATCAACGATTAATCAATGAAATTGATTATTATCCACGACGATCATGTTGTTCAACATTTCAGAAACCATTATTAACAGATAATGATCATCAAAATAATCATGATCATCATCATTTAATATAATTCACCATTTTTTTAAATGCATTTGCAGTAATAGTTTTTTCCAGAATTTATTTACAATATTACGACGTCGTTTATTTTTTTTAATATTACAATTTTTCTATAATTAATTCTACAAAGAAATTTTTTGCATGATGATTTTTTAATACTAAATGATACAATCAACAAATTCAAGTTAAGAATTTTCTTCTGAAACGGACTTGTTCCTAAGTAAGATACCATATCTGTAATTCAAATTTACAAACAGAAATGTTTCAGATAAAAATTGGCTATTAAAATGAATATTGAAATATAAGCGATTATAGCCTAAAATGAGAAAATGAAAGTAAGTGACAAAAAAAGAATCCATCATTTTAAATGAACAAACCTTGGAAAGTGTAGTGTATGTAACGCTACCAAAATAACCAAATGTAAAACAATAACGTTCACCATACATAAGACTAGCATAAAGATTTTCATATTTCATTTTCAAACGTAAATGTCGTAAAGATGGGATACCCGTTGAAATATATGTTCGAATATGTTCAATATAACAATTAATATGAGCTAATGATGCTGTCGGTATAATCGAACTGAATGTATGTACTGCCGTTATAAACAAATAGATCAAACGTTCACTTTGACTTGGATGGCCAAATATTAGAACGCATACGAAACAAACATTCATCGGTATTCCAACCATCAGTAATTGACATAATGCCATACTCCATTTTTCACGATCAGTACGTATTATATAACCGCAAAGACGATTATGTTCAAAGAAAATGAATTGTAATTGCCAAAAACTCATTGGTGAAAAATGTCTTTTCGACTCCATATTCTGTATTAATGAGCGAAATTTTTGATTCAGATTATGAAAACAAAGACAATATATTAATGATGATGTTGTTGCCGCGAATATGGTCAATAGACCTGATTGTAAAAGATTCATCGATTCATTAAATGAAGCTGATAAATCAATGATTACTATTAGCCATATGCCAAAACTTTCGACATAATTGTTATAATATTCCAAAATAAAGAATATGAATACGCAAATTAATAACAGCACTGTATCGATACATGGAAATAAATGTTATTCATAAGACTTGATAGTGCGAAACTTACTTGTAATTAAATTGAGAATAAAATTGAATTGATCCTCTATGATCATAAAAATGACAAGATAGACTCTTGTACGTAATGATGCTTTTGGAAATAATTTCATCGGATTATTCTTGAACCTGTGTCCATTCAATCGAAATGATTCCATTTCGATCCAAGAATCAAGCCATGCTCTTAACCAGTAGAACTGGCTATAAATGACTAATGGTATGATTGGTTTGCTCATAGCCATACGTTTTTGAAGATATTTTTGCCGTCGATGCTCGATTGCATGTTTTATGATTATCGGATTCTTTATACGACATCTACGATAATTTTCAACATTGATGACCATTATATCGTAAAGAACTTGAAAGGATAATGATTGTGTGTCACAAAGGTAGAATGTATTCAAACCAACAACAATGAGTGCGATTATTAATATCAATAGTAATAGTAAAAATTCATCATAACTGTCACGATGTTGCCATATAAAATGGCAAAAATGTTCATATTTAAACAATGGAAATAAATCCGGCCGTCTAAGCATCAATAAAATGGCCATTGCACGAAAAATGTAGAATATTGCGATGGCCACTTCCAATCGATGTATTGTTTGTAAACGACAATCACCACTGCGTTGGACAAATTGTTTAATTTGGCCATAGCTAAATTCATGAATACGTAAGAACATTTTGGTCGCAAGTAACGAAGACAAATGTTGAATTTCTTGCAAATATACGACTCATCAGCAGTTTAGAAATTATCAACAAATGCGGTTCCATTAAATTCATTTCAGAATTATCGATTTTTTCCTGCTTCCTAAGTAAAAAAAAACTTTTCTAAGTAGAAATGATTTTCAAATTAATTTTCTGATAAATCGTGAGTCAAAATGTTATAGGTAATTTTTTATGTTATTTACAAAAATTTTTTTTCATTAATATTTTAAATTTTCATTAGCTATAGATAAAAATTGTTCTAATGAACCGAAAAAACCATTAGTAACAAATAAAAGCAATGTTTTTTTGATAATACTTTATATATATGAAAGAGGATATTGTTTTTTGTGTAAAAAAACAAACATGATTCGAATTGAATGATGAATTTTTTTTTTGAAATTAATACTCATTCACATAAGGAAATGTTTTTGATAAAAATTGGCTACTAGAATAAATATTGCAATATAAGCGATTAAAACCTAAATGTAGAAAAAAATTGGATAAATGTTGGAACTAAAGAATTCAATGAAAAATACTATTGACAAACCTTGGAAAGTGTAGTGTAAGTAACGCTACCAAAATAACCAAATGTAAAACAATAACGTTCACCATACATGAGACTAGCATAAAGATTTTCATATTTCAATTTCAATCGTAAATGTCGTAAAGATGGGATACCCGTTGAAATATATGATCGAATATGTTCAATATAAGAATTAATATGAGCTAATGATGCTGTCGGTATAATCGAACTGAATGCATGTAATGCCGTTATAAACCAATAGATCAAACGTTCATGTTGACTTGGATGGCCAAATATTAGAACGCATACGAAACATACATTCATCGGTATTCCAACCATCAGTAATTGACATAATGCCATACTCCATTTTTCACGATCAGTACGTATTATATAACCACATAGACGATTATGTTCAGTACAAATAAATTGTAATTGCCAAAAATTCATTGGTGAAAAATATTGATTTGGGCTCTTATTTTGTATTAATGAACGGAGTTTTTTATTCAGGCTGCGAAAACAAAGACAATATATTAATGATGATGTTGATGCCGCGAATATGGTCAATAGGCCGCATTGTAAAAGATTTATCGCTCCATTAAATACAGCTGATAGATCAATGATTATGATTATCCATATGCCAAAACTTTCGACATAATTGTGAAAAAATTCCAAAATAAAGAATATGATTACGTAAATTGTTAACATCACTGTATCGATAAATGATAGCAAATGTTATTCATAAGACTTGATAGTGCGAAACTTACTTGAAATTAAATTGAGAATAAAATTGAATTGATCTTGTATCATCATAAAAATGACAAGATAGACTCTTTTACGTAATGGTGCTTTTGAAAATAATTTCATCGGATTATTCTTGAACCTGTGTCTATTCAATCGAAATGATTCCATTTCGATCCAAGAATCAAACCATGCTCTTAACCAGCAGAATTGACTATAAATGACTAATGGTATGATTGGTTTGCTCATAGCCATACGTTTTCGAAGATATTTTTGCCGTCGATGCTCGATTGCATGTTTTATGATTATCGGATTCTTTATACGACATCTACGATAATTTTCAACATTGATGACCATTATATCGTAAAGAACTTGAAAGGATAATGATTGTGTGTCACAAAGGTAGAATGTATTCAAACCAACAATAATGAGTGCGAGTACTAATATCAATAGTAATAGTAAAAATTCATTATAAATATTACGATGTTGCCATATAAAATGGCAAAAATGTTCATATTTAAACAATGGAAATAAATCCGGCCGTCTAAGCATCAATAAAATGGCTATGGCACGAAAAATATTGAATATTATGATGGTCCCTTCCAATCGATGTATCGTTCGTAAACGACAATCATCTTTGCGTTGGACCAATTGTTTAATTTGGCCATAGCTGAATTCATGAATACGTAAGAACATTCCGGTAGTACGTAACGATGACAAATGTTAAAATTTTTGCAAATATTTTATTTTATCTAACGAAATTTGTGGTTTCGATCTGAAATTTGTCAGAATTTGTGTAGAATCAATAATGATCAAAACTTTTATAAATTTATTTCTATAATAATCATAATTTTTTCTCCTGCTTCCATTGATCTTTTTCTCTCAAATTCTTTCTGTTGTACACACAATCATTGAATCGATATTTTTTTATACAATTTTGAACTATATAATTAGGTTTTTTTTCTTGTTCAACATTTATTATCTAGAATTTTTTCCTATTATTTTCATTCTAAATTCATTAATGAAATGAATGAAATTGAAAATGAAAACAAAGAACAGAAACTAAAAAATTATGATGGTTGTGAAGCAAAAAAAAAAAATGAAAAAAAACGGTACCAAAAATTGGACTCCAAAATATTGATTTACTATTACAATTGATGATTGTGTTTTGATTAAATTCAATATATCATTATTAATGGAAAAAACGGTCGTATTTTTATTTCAAAATATTGATTCGTTCATTTTGATGACTTGTCATCATTAATCATAATGATGATGATCACAATGTACAATCATATTATTCAATGTTTTTAGATATGAATCAATTTCCTGTATAAATGCACGTTTAGCATCCAATAATTGTTGTTCAGATTGTGTTGTAATCATCTGTACACGATAACGTAATTCCATTAATGTTTTTCGAAATTGGCAATAATTTTCATCAGATTTATTTTTAAATGAATTTTGATTTCCATATAATTGTGGCATCACAGTTTTTAATAGATATTCATAATAATTTTTTATCTGTTGACATTTCATTTCTGTTGTTGTTGTTGTTGTTAATCTTGATGACGATAATTGCGTTGGTGGTGGTGGTGGTAGTGGCATTGGTATTCTCATACCATTATCATCATATTTTTCATCACAGAATCGATCATCAACATTATTGATATGATGATCAATTGATGATGATGATGATGAACAAGTTGTAATGGCTAAAAATGGTTCTCGATCAATTCGTAATAAATTTTCTAAACGTTTCATGTAATTTTCAATAAATTTTATTCGTAAAATGTGGCCATAATTATGTCTAGATTTGTTGTTGTTTGGTGGTAATGGAAGAATTTTTCTTGAATTTGGATTCTTTTGTTGTTGTTGTTGTTGTTGTTGCTGCTGATGTTGCTGTTCTAATTCAATTTTTAATTGCGATAATTTCCGTACACAATCCTGTCGTGATAATTCTAATTCAGTTACTTTTTCATTCAACAATAATATCGATGTTTCCAATTCAGTTAATCGTGGTGACCATTCACAATCTTTCTGACCAAAATGATGACGTATCATATCGAAACCTTTGTGTAATTGTTTCGGTTCAATCATCATCATTTCATTTGTATTCATTGATTGTTGTTTTCGCTGTAAACGTGATACAGGTGGTAATGAATTATTACGTTTAAAATTCTGTTGTTGCTTTTGATGATGATTATTATTATTATTATTATTGTTGGTAACCGTTGACTTTGATTTTGTATAAAACAATGATCGACCACGTTTTAATTCGGATATTTTCTGCTCACTACCATATAGATGATAATATTCATCAAAACTTTTCATATAAATTGAATTTGATGATTGTTTTATGCCATTATCGATTAAATAATCACTGTTTATTGAATATTTAAAAAATAAAGTTAAAAATTGAATAAAAAAAATGGTACTTACTCAAAAGATTTATGTAAATTATTATCCATTGATGATTTTGAATTTCCCATTTTTTCTTCTTTCTTTTTCAATCACTTTCACAGTTTATATTTGCTGTTCACATTTCATTTTTTTTTTTTTTAGTTTTATCCCGTATTTCAAATAATTCACAAACACGCACACACAAGAAAACACCAAATATACAAATGGAATATGAAATCTGAAATTTTTTCTTATGCTGTACAATGCTGATTTATAAAATGGTGATAATTTTTTCTTTGATGGTAGTTGGTGATGATGATTGAAAACAAATAAGAAAAAAAAAGCCAATTTACGTATGTTCATTTATCGTTATCATTTTGTTTTTCAAATATCTCACACAACTGTTGGCCAAGAAAAAAAACATATTCACATTTGATAATATCAATAACTGGTAAATTGGTAAATTTATCACAACAAAACAAAAAAAAATGGTTGTATTTATAATGGCATCGACAACAACAACAACAACGTCGATTATGATGATGATGATGATCCTTGAATATGTGATAAAAAAAAATATTTGAATGAGAAAATTGCCGTTTTTTTTCAGTTGTTGTTATTAGATACGATTAGTTTATAATATGTTTAAAGATTAGATGTACAATATATGGCCCGGGCACTGCAATACAACGGAAAAACTTGAGGAAAAAGTTTAAACCAAAAAAAAACGACCAAAGTAATCGTTGTAAGATTGATTAATTGGAACAATTCGGATCGGAAGCCAGTTGTTGTTGTTGTTGTTGTTGTTGTTGTTACTGCTGCTGGTCTGAAATAAATTATCGTTCTAGTTTATCATCAAAGTTTTTTCTTGTTGTTTTTGTTTGCTGGCAAATTGCTGTTTAATTGAATAATTAGAAAAACATCGACGCACACACACACAATGAGTTGATAAATATAACCGCCGCCCAAAAAGATGTGTCAACTGTGAAACAGAAAAAAAATTGTCAAATGTTTTTTCTATTGTTCAAAATATTTAAATGATGATTAGGCTGTTTTTGAATTCTATTATTTGAATAATAAAGGTAAACACATTTAGTGCACCGTGTAAACACACACACACACAAACACGTTCATTTCATCAAACCAACAATTATGACTAATATAATGATGTATTTGTCTGTGTGTGTGTGTGTGTGTTAGTGATACAAACGACAAAATCAACAAGTGTTTATGTCGCCTCTATATATATTATGATGATGATAATGGCATAAAGCAGAAAAACAAAAAAATCAACACAATTTTATTATACATAAGGTTTTTTCTTTACCTAAAAAAAATGAAAAATTTTTGTTTGATTATGGAAAATGGAGAGAATATTTCAATCTGTCGGTTACACACACATTATGTAAACTACAAAAAAAGGAAAAAAGGTTTACATGAAAAAAAACACGTGTAGGAAGACACAACCTCATTATCATCATCGATTCGATGGACTGGAAATGGAACAACAACGGAAAGAACATCTGCCCACAAGAACCAAATTGAGAGTAAAACTCTTCACACATATGATAATGATAATTGTGTTTTGAAAAGAGAAAACATTCATTTCTTTACAAGTTTCAATGAAGTTTTTTTTAAAATTCCAATTTTCAAGTGTTCACCACAATTTTCACAAAACAAAATTAAAATTGAATCATTGAAACTGGAAATAAAATGTCCAAAATTAGATTTTTTTTTTTAGTTTTGTTTTTCACGTCATGTGAATAGCAACATTTTGTTTGATTTTTTTTTTTGAAAACTTTTTTTTTTCAAATCATTGCTCAAAAGCGACGAATTATTATCACCTTCGTGCATATGACGACCTATTGAATATTTGATGATAATAGAGGTTCGATAACCTAATGCCTGACATAATGCAACAAAAAATATTTACTACCTGTTGCTATTGATCAATGTAATTCGTATATTCAAGAAGAAAAACATTTGACAATAAAACAATGATAAAAGAAAAGAAAAGAAAAAACCATGTGACATATATATATATATATATGAATCATAATTTTATATATATGGATTGAAAGCCAAGAAAAGAATAAAAAGATTATTATAAACAAACAAACAAACAAACAACAAGAAAAAAAGGAAAAACAATTTTTTGAAATTGGTAAAAATCTTCTATTTTTTAATTTTAAGTAGTTTAGTGAAGCCTAAATTAAGATTAAGTGAAAAGAATGTGAATGATGAAAAAATAGAAACGATTTATAATGAGATAAAGCATTTTCATTTTTAGATTGAAATATTTGATGGTTTAGCAGTATTTTCATGTTTATGATGTTGAAATGGTGTTGTACTACGTATATCGGATCCAATCTTATTTACATATACATCATTATATAAATGTTCGACAGGTAATTCCGGATCTACACGTGATTTTTGTGCAGCTTCATCCACTTCCTTACGTATTTCAATGTCGATTTGTTTCAATTCATCACTAGTAACAAGTTCAGCTTGTAGAATATTTTCTTTAAACATTGTAATTGGATCACGTGAACGACGTACTTCTTGTACTTCATCACGTGTACGATAACTTGTACCTGGATCGGATACTGAATGACCAAAATAACGATAAGTTGCTGCTTCCATAACGAATGGTCCTTGACCATCACGACACATTTTTACTAAATATTCGGTTGCTTGACGAACTGCCAATATATCCATACCATCCACCCAGATACCGGGTACATAATCACCACGTGTATAGAATAATGGACATGCAGATGCACGTTCAGCTGATGTACCCATACCGTAGCCATTATTTTCGACAATAAAAATAACCGGTAATTTCCATAATGCTGACATATTGAATGCTTCAAACACTTGACCTTGATTCGCTGCACCATCACCACAAAGTGCCAATGTAATTTCACCGGAATCTGTATATTTTTGTGCCAATGCTATACCGGCACCTAATGGTATTTGTGCACCTACGATACCATTTCCACCATAGAATCTCTATGATAAAAAAAAACAAATCAATTATATTTATTTTCATTATAATTCGAAATGATAACCATCACACATACATCACAATAAAGATGCATTGAACCACCTTTACCACGAGCACAACCAGATTGACGACCAGTTAATTCTGCTAAAACACCTAAAAGTGATACACCACGTAAATATGTCCAACCATGTGCTCTATAAGCAGTGATGACAGCATCTTTTTTCCTATTTAATTCAATTAAAATGAAACAAAAAAGATTGGAATTAATGATGCAAACGAATAAGGTATATTTGTAATTACGTAATAGCAGTTTCCATTCCAACGGCGACAGCTTCTTGACCAGTGTAAAGATGACAGAAACCACGAACAGCTTTTTCTTTATATAAAGCATTTGCTGCTGCTTCCAATCTACGAATGGTTGTCATTTGTCGATAATATTGTAATGCTTGATCACGTGTACAAGAAACTTGGGTCGATGGACCTTCATCCAATCGATGTAATTTATATGGATGTACGGTAAATGTTGCTGATGATAATTGTTTTTGTTGTTGTTGTTGTTGTTGGCATCGTACAATCAAATTTATTCGGGGCGCTCGCCATATCGTCGAAATTGTTAGTGATGAAAACATGACTATATCGGACTAGATTATTTTTACTGAAAAAAATGATATTGAATCAAATGGAAATAATTTCTCGTTATAACTTTGAGATCACAAATTCTCCTTCAACGAATATTCAGAATCATTGTAAATGCACATGTGCAGAATCAAATCAGCTGACATGTTATATTAGTTTTTCTTCATTTCTTCAAATGTTTATCCAGAATGGTCAAGAATCAAAGTTGTCTTAATTTTTTTTTTCAAATTTTAAAACATCACAATGATTGAATTCTTTCAACCATTCGAAAATTCTCAATCAATCAATAATGATATGTGAAAACAATTTTAATTTTTAAAAAAATGGCAAATTAAATTTTCGCGAAAATTCTTTTGCAACGGCATTTATGTAGAGGATCACGACGTGGTTTATATTTCTTTCAGTGGTATTGATGTTGTTGCGTGTGGTGTTTTTTTTCGTTGTTGAAAAATTAATGTTAGCGAGTTTCATAAAATCACCAGATTTATTTTTTTCTGAAACAAAAAACTGAACTTTAAATTTTTCTAATCATTTTATCAAAAATATTCTTGCAAGATGAGCGATTGGGATAAAGTGACCGTATTAAATAAACGTCCAGCACGTGCATCCGATCTTCGTAGTAAACAAGCGGTGAATAATGCTATGAAATCAGGTGTACCGATTGAAACGACAAAAAAATTCAATGCAGCCACAAATAAACATGCCGGACCAAGTGTTAATGCTGTGAAACTTGATCAAGAAACTGAAGATTTTCATCATAATCATGTATCGATGGATGTATCAAAATTGATTTCGGTACAGCGTCAAAAAATTGGTATGACACAAAAAGAATTGGCAACAAAAATTTGTGAAAAGCCACAAGTTGTTAATGAATATGAAGCTGGTAAAGCAATACCGAATCAACAGATTTTGGCTAAAATGGAACGTGCATTAGGCGTTAAACTTCGTGGTAAAGATAAGGGCCAGCCATTAGTACCAAAAAGTGGTAAATGAATGAATCGAATAAATACAAACACCACCACCCTAAATCATTTTATCGTTTGGTTCAAAAAAAAAACGCTATAAGCTGGTTTCCACACAAATACCAATCACAATTTATATTGAATATAATCCACATACATACATTTTTTCTGTACATTGTAAAGCCTTCTTTATATACAAAACAAAAATCTTTTTTTTTTACAAAAACATGAACCAGATTGATTCGATACATTTGATGAAATGAATAAAAATTTTTTGATCGATCGAGTTATAAAATCCCAAAAAAATCGTGATTCATTTACTTCATCGACTGTTGTTGACAATAGATGGCAATATTGTCGCATTTTTTTTGGTGCTTTTGTTGATTGTTTATTCAATATAAACTTTATTGTTTCGAACATTTATTTCTTATATACCATGCATGCATTTTTTTTTATGACTCAGAAAGCCAGATTTATTAAATATTTCAAAACACTTTGATGATGATGATGATATTGTTTTAGCGTTGATGGTGGTGATTTTTGATGTCTGAATTCTGAACAATTTTCTTATTCCATATTTTCGTAAGTTTTTTTCGTAAGATTGAAATATCTTTTTCTATTTGAAAAGCTATGGCCAATGTATCCAATGATAACATACGTCTACGTATTAAGACTAAAAATGGTCAATTCAATATCGATACATTACATACATCATCAACAATTGGTGAATTAAAATCCATAATATGGAGTGTAACCGATATGCATCCAGATAATTGTAAATTAATGATCGGTTATCCACCACAGGAAATTTTTCTGGTCGATGATGAACAATTAATCAAAGATATAATACCGAATCGTCGTGAAACATTGATAATGAATGAAATTGTTGGTCAATCAAATAAATCTAATCTTACAGATGTAAAACCAATTACCAACGTTGAAAAATTCGATTCCCGGAACCAACAACTAATACGTCGAATGGATCGTATCGAAGTGCCTGCCAACAATTCTTGTCTATTTGTTAGTGTACATTTTTGTTTAACCGGAGAGATACAAGAAAAATGTCCACAATTACGTAATCTTATTGCTGAAACGGTACAATCCGATCCAATTACATATAATGAAGGATTTCTAGGTAAACCAAACAATGTATATCAAAAATGGATACGTAATGAAGATCATTGGGGTGGTGGTATTGAACTTGCAATATTATCATCATATTATGAAATTGAAATCGTTGCTGTTGATACCCAGAATGAACGTCTTAATCGTTTTGGTGAAGATAAAAATTATCCAAGACGTATATTTTTAATATTTGATGGTATACATTATGATCCATTAGTGGTACATTCAAATGATATGGATAATCCATTACAGACAAATTTTTCATCAGATGATATTATTGTCATTGAAATGGCATTAGATGTTGCACGTAAAGCTAAAGCTAAACATCAATATACTGATCTAAATCGAATGTATCTTAAATGTAATCAATGTAATAGGCTATTTGATCAGAATCAAGCCAGACAACATGCATCCACTACTGGACATGTAAATTTTAGTGAATTGAATGAAAAAAAATGATTTGATTTGATCAAAATTGATTTTTTTTTAATTATTCAAAAAAATTATACTCAAGTATGAACATGATTAAATTGATCAATGTGAATTTTATTTTCTTATTAATAAAAATTTAAAAAAAAAATTAGATCAATTTGTTTCTATATGGTTGTTGTCGGTAGAATAACCTGTTTATTTGGATCACATGTAAATGGAATGGTCAATGCAAATCTTTCACCATTCGAAACTTGTTCGACCATATGTTGATTTTCTGAACCGGACGTGAAAAATGATATACGACCAAATTTTGGTTCAATAATAGTATTGTTAATTTTTTCATCATTATCGATAAAAATAAATCGACCACCGGAAAATTCTTCCTGATATGTGGCCAGATAAAGTAATGATGTATAATGAAAAGTATTGTATGTAAATTTATCGATATGTGGATGCCAATATTCATCATTTAATGTTTTTGCTGCTTGTTTCGAATTGATTTTTGTAAAAAATACTGGACTTGTTAAATAAAGATGATCACTTTTAATACCGAATGTCATTGTAATTGTTTGTAATAATTTCTTCCGTACAACATGAAATGTATCGAATATTTTTTGTTTGATCACCTTTTCAGGATCAGGTAAATGTTTTAATAATTTATAAAGATTTATAAATTGTGTTCCATTTGATAAGGCACCGGAAGCTAGATCAAAAATAGCAACACCACCATTTGGTTGTACCATTGTGAATATAGTTTGAGCAAATAATCGCAATTCTAATGCTTCATTATCATTGACAATTGAATCGCTAACAAAACGGCCACATTTATACGGTGTACATGATTTAAATTGTAATCGATCTTGTTCATAATCATTAGAACATTGTTTAAATTGTCCAAATGGACTTCCTAAATGATTATCGTTTATTGAAGCCATTGTTATATTAGTTGATGATTGTAATTGATTTCTATTTTGATTATTATTATTATAATGATGATGATAAATATAAACGATAAACATGATTGACATTGATATTATAATTTTTCGTAACCAAATTGGCAATGATAATATTGAATAAACATGACTATGGTTACCATGACTGAAAACATTTCTGTTCATAGATCGATGTTGTTGTTGTTGTTGTTGTTTTGAATTATTTTGTTCGCCAATGATGTTACCATCTTTATTAATAGATTGGCGGCCATCATTTTGTTGATCATCAACATCATCATCATTTGAATGTCTGTTTTTATTATCAACATTATGCAATAAATTTCGACGACGACGATGATGATGATGTTGATTATTTTGGACCATCTTTCATATATATATAAAATGTAAAAGCGTTGTAAATCGATAATCAAGATTTTTAAAATAAAAAAAAATTTCGAAATATATAAATGTCGAATGAATGTCAATGTTTTTTTTTCTGTAGGAAAGGAAAATAAGAAATTATTATTTTTCATTAGAAAATAACAGCAGAAAAAAAAAGGAAAAGCAAAATTCAAAAATGCTCAAAGTAACGAAAAGGATGGCTTAATTATATGGATTTTTCTTTCCCATTCGTTTATCTCTATACGGTGGTCAATTTATCAGGCTGAGTGAAGAAATAAACTGGTTATATGATGATGATAAATATTATTGATTCGAAAAAAAACAATCATAACACGCGAGCAGCAATTGACATACATTTGGAATTGTGGCATTCATGCTTTTTCGCGATCATATGTAGTGTGTGTGTGTATATTTACAAAACAGGTAAAAATAGCCAAGAAAATTTTCTTTAACATTTCGTTCTTACTAACAAGCACAAAAAAAAAATTCAATTTACAAAATAAAAATCTGATGATGATGATAATCAAATGAAAACCAAATTGGTGATAATATAACGATAATATCAACATATATATTCTCTCTTTTTCTCTGTCTATCGTTTACATTGCAATGTGATGTTTGTTACATGTATTTATATATCGTAACAAGCAAGATCATTTCCATTAACCAGAAAAAAAAATAGGCGATATCACCATGTCCACCATGTATGAATGATGATGTAATCATTTGAGAATGAACAACGATGTCAATGTCAAATATTTGTGTGACAATTTATTTTAGTTGTTTCGAATTTATAATATATAAAAAAAAATGTTTACGTAAATGAATTCTCTATGAAGAAGAAAAAAAAAACAAATCCTATTGACCATTTACTAATTTAGTTTTGATCTGATTTTTTTTTTTTTTTTTTTTTGTTTCATAACTTATTTGACCTGATGGCTCATCCACAGACACACTTTTATGGTGAAAAATTTATCAGATAAATAGATGAAGTCGAAAAAAAACCGGATCTAAACACATCTTTTTTTTCGGGACTTTTTTTTACGTTTAATTATCGGTTAACTTTTAATCTTGACATAGATTTTTTTTTTAAATTGAAAAAAATAAAATGATGATGTGTGTGTGTGTGCGTGAGTAAAAATAGCCATTCGAATGTTTGAAAAAATAGCGGAGGCGATAAAAAAATTTTCCGTTTGTTTTCAAATTTTTCCATTTCATTTTTTTTTAATCTCTAATCAACTAGCAACAAAAAAAAAAAAAACAGAATCTGTATAACAATTTAAATCCATATTCAAATTATTGTCAAGAAAAAAAAGAAAATTATTTTTATCATTGCACGCACGCAAAAATCAAATGATGTCAAAATCGTCATCATCATCATCATCGTCTTTCATTATTCACATTATTTAATTTGGTTTGGACATTTATTTTTTTTTCGAAAAAAACCATTATTTTTTTCTGTTACATACATTCATCATGACCAAAAAAAAAAAAAAAAGTGAAAAAAAACCAAAGTAAGCCCCAAATAGTATTGTACCAGGTTAATCGAAATCAGCTGCAACAAACAAAACACAAACACACACACACACACACACACAACAAATACGTCAATTTTCATTTTTTTTCTTCTTCTTCTTCTGTATGTTTCGAATTTTGGAAGTAAAATAAAAATCCAACGCCACAACAACAACAACAACAACAGTTATAAAGTTTTTTTTCCATACATCAATACAGATATTCGCATATCCTTTTCTACCAAAATGATGATGATGATGATGATGATGATTATGGTTGATGGTTGGTTTTTTTTTTCTTTCGAGCTTAATAAAATTTCATTCACGTAAAAACGCGTTTACGTATATATATGTGTGTGTTTATCTGTCGATGTTTGTGTGTTTGTGTTTGCGCCCAGTCAACCATGGTATACAATTTTGCCATCAATTTTTTGTATATATATCTGTATGAAACAAAGTAATATTATGTGTAGAATGAAATTTGAAACAAATAGAAAAACTGGGGGAAAAAATTCAAACAAACAACAAACATGAATAAAAATAAAAATAAAGGTGTGACTGTTACTTTTGGCCTACCTGTTGTGTTGAAATAGTTTTTTTTTGTTTCTGTTGGTCTATTTCATTTTGACATTTTTACTTCATTCATTCGGTCTTGTTGCTCTTGTTTCTGTTTTTTTTCTTGTTGTTGTTGTGTTGTTGTTTTTTGCATCCAAAATTGATCCTTCATCATTTAAAATAAGTAGTGTTTACAAGAATACGTATGTGTGTGTGTGTGTGTGTGTGTGATGTGTGCAAACAACAAATAAACAGTTGAAATTGAAACGATTTTTCTTTGATTCAAATTTTTTTTTGTAAACTGATAACGCTTGGTGATCAAGGACAAAATTTTTCAAATTTATCTCCCACTTAAAACAACTTTTTGATTCAGATGTGAAAATTGTTTTCTGTTTTGTTTTTTTGTTAAATCTTCAATTGCTACAATAACGATAAAAAAAAGTAAAATATTTTTTATGTGAGAAAAAAAAATTCGGAACCTAAAAACTGAATCATTTTCTGATTGATTTTTGGCCGTTATTCATTCAACAAACACAGACAAACACACACACACACAAAAATTGTCGACAAAAACAAAACATCAAATCAAATGTATTGAATGTGTGTGTGTGTGTATGCCACTAAATTCAAATTCTTGGTAAAAAAAAAAAATTTCGAAAATTGATAATTTCGAACATATCGACGACAGTGACAAACAGACAAACGGACAGACAGACATACATAGACAGAATATATGCTCTCTAAATCCGGTCTATTAAATCATCATCATCCATTCTTTTGCCCTTCTTCTTCTTCTTCTTCTATCAACTCTTTTTTTTTTGAATAAAATTACTTCAATTGATGCCATATCACACCATGAATAATGGCTAAATAAAATATTACATTCAATTTTCACCTTGTATGAATGTTTCATTTTTAGTGTTAAAATGTTTGTTTGTTTGTTTGTTTGTGTGTGTTCAATTCAATCCAAAAGCAGCTATCTAATAATAAAAATAAATCTAGAGAAAGAAAATCATCATCATCATCATCATCATTGTTGTTGTTTGTTTGAAGCTCATAACCATCATATATTATCATCATCATCATCATCATCATCATCATACAACAACAGATTAATGTGTGAAAAAAAAGAAAGATTGTGAATCGACAACAACTACCATCGAAATATTATTGATGATGATTATGGGCCAATGGTTGCTGCTAAGTAAATGATGTGTATTATACACCTTATAAACCATTTTTTTTCTTCCCTATATATTTGTACCTGTGTTTGTGTGTGTGTGTTGATTATGAATTTCTTTACAATTTGAAAGTAATGAGAGAGAAAGCTCCCTGTGTGTGAGTGTGTGTATGTGTCTATGTATGGTGGTACATACATGTGTAATAAAAATGGTATTTGAGTTTTCTTCGATCCGAATATAATCGTCTTGTTGTTGTTGTTGTTGTGGTTGTCGTTACCGTAGTTGTGGCTGTATATATTTATGTGTGTGTGTACCTGTTGAGCTTTGAAGTTCATAGGAAAAAAATGATAATTTTTAACAAACCAAAAAAAAAGTGAATCTACCACAACCAACACCATCAAATAGGATTTTACCATTAAGCCATCAAACACATACATACACACACACACACACACTCACCATTTTTTTCGGGCACCAATATCCGATTAATTCAATCTAATTTTTTCTCTGATTCCACAACAAGTGTGTGTTCTGACGTCTTTTGATTTTCCAGTGAATTTAGTTTGTGATTTCAAAGTTTTGTTTTTGAATTTCTGTTTGTGTGTATATAATCTATATATATGTAAAAATTGTTCTGTTTGTTTTTTTCTGGTTTCATCTGGATCGATTCAAAATTGTGGTGGTGTGAAAAGTAAATTCCGATTGAATCGTTATTGTTTGGAAGTGATAAATTAATCTGGGGGAGAAAAAATGCAAGAAATTGCACGTAAACGTTTTCAAACAAAGGCCTGTATTGCCGGTGCTCGAACATTTTTAATGTTATTCAATGTAATCTTTTGGGTAAGTTTCGAAAAAAAAAAATTTTTTTTTCTCAGTTTTTGAAAAAATACCTTCAATTCATCTGTATCATGAATCTATGATAATCATATTTTTTTCATCATCAAGATCGCCGGATTCATTCTATTATTATTTGGTCTTTGGATGCGTGTTTCCATTGGAAAAGTATTCGAAATAGCACCACAATTTAATTTTGCATTACCAACAATGTTAATCATTTGTGGTTCATTAATGATGATTGTATCCGTATTGGCATGTTTCTCTTCATCCACTGATAGTCCAACTTTATTATACATTGTATGTTTTTTTTCCATGAATAATTCTTAATTCCTTTTTACATTTGAATTTGATTTTTTTTCTTGTTTCACAATTTTCATCTACATTTCAGCTAAGTGTTATATTTTTCCTAATATTTGGATCAATATTTGCACTATCAATCACTGGCTATGCATATCGTGATACATTAAAAGAACAGCTATATAAATCATTAAATCATACATTGAATCAATATGGTACCGGTAATATTATGGATAAAGATCTTGATCGAATTCAAATACATGTATGTTATATATGACAATTTATTTTGATGAATTGAATTCAATTTTTAAATTTTTAAATCCATCCATATATATAGTTCGATTGTTGTGGTGTCGATAATTTCGAAGATTGGCTACATAGTGATTGGCATCAAAAACATAATCTATCATTTCCGGATAGTTGTTGTAAAACATTAAAACATTGCGATAATAAACTAGTGGAACAGACACATATGGTTGGATGTTATCCAGTAATTGTCAATACATTCAATGAAAATCTAAGTACATTAGGTTTGGGAACATTTTTCATTGCATTATTTCAGGTATGTGAATCATGAATTCTATATGAAAAAGAAAAAAAAAATCTATAATCATAATCTATATTGATCGATCAAATTTTGCTTTTGATATTTTCTTAACCCTAATCAATCAATCAATCAATTATCATTATCAATATAATTAATTCGAATAAAAAATGCTTACAAGCACGTACATGCGATCAACCTTCAATTTGATTCGATCAAAAAAATTATTTATTTTTTGTTTTTTATCATCATGATCATTGAAATTAATTTTTTTTTCTACGAAAAAAAAATTATTCTAGCTTTGTGGCGTAACATTGGCTGTTTGTCTGGCAAATCATATAAACAAGGCGAAATATGAAGAAATGTATTAATGTGAAGATTTTTTTTTTTTGGCAACAGAATTGTTTTTTATCTCAAAAATCAAATTTTTTAATTTTTGATTATAAAACACACAAACCACACAGCTATTATAATTATTAGAACCATCAATCAGCAGCATATAAACACAAATTGTCATCAATCGATCCTGTTTGACCGCCACCACCACCACCACCAACACACAAAGATTTAAACAACAAACAACGAAACTTTAATTCGAAATCGAGCTTCAAATTCCCGAAAAAAAAAGACAAAAACATAGAAAAAAAAGAATTGTTAAATTATCTTCCACAAACACATATTTACTGCCCAATAATGAACCATTTCAAATATATGTAATTGTGTGTGTCGGTGTTGGTGGTCATGATGATGTAATTGAAATGCACATAGACTTTCAATGTTTCGTTTCTGTTGTTGTTGATATATATTATTAATTATTATTATTATTATTATAGATTAATCATTATAATTGATAATTATGATTTTTATTCCTAATTTTATCATCATTTAAATTTGTTAGTTTGTAAAATTCAAACAAACAAAACAAAAAAAATTTATCTACAAAACAGTAAGAGAGATAGAGATGGAGAGAAAAACAGAGACAAATACAATGCATTCGGACAGGATTATTAATCAATTAATTATCCTGATTATATATCGTTGTGGATTGCGGATAATAATGATGTACATAGATATTGTCGTTGAAGGACAAATGTGATTTGTTTCTTTTTTTTCCTCATCATATATTGATATTATAATAAATCATTCAATTTCTGTTTGACAATTTTTTGTTTGTTTCACACCGACGATCGATTGTTTGATTTTTTTCATCAGGATTGATTTGTGATGTTTGACGTCGTCGTCGTTGTCGTTGTTGTTGATGATGATTGTTGTTCCAATTGTACTCGTTTTGTTTCCAACATTTGTTCGATTCTCTACATGTTGAAATTGGAAGAAAAAAAGAATTTAGTTATCGGATAATGGCAATTTATTGTTTTTTATAAAATTTACATCTGATTCTAAAGGCCGATAAATGGAATGAATAAATTGTGAGCCACAAGCAGTGGCTAATAAAGCGGCCATTATACGTGATAAATATGTTGACCATGATAAACCAAATGGCATTCTTTGAGATTTTGGATTGAATTTTTATTTTCAATTTTGTAAAAAATTCATTGAATTCATTCACACATAGCACATGTGAATCAAACAAGTTTGTTTACATAGTTTTACCAGGAAACTTACCGAGCCATATAAACATTCGAATGAATATTGTTGATTGTAAAGTTTACCGAATTTTTATGTTTATCATTTATAATATTTTGAAATGAAATGTGAAATGGTGATTTCTAAGACTTTCTTACCTTACGTTCTTCTAGTAAACGTTCCTGTTCTTTTCGTTTATAAACCGAATAGAAATCAATTCCATTTATACGCATATGAATCATTGAGAATTCAGTCCATGCACCGATAGCAAAAAATATCGGCAAATATGAATAGAATCCAAGTTGTTTACGTAATGGCCAATTATCAAGTATAATAGAAATAATTTTTCTATATTGTTGCATATATTGTCGATAAAAATCACGATACATGATTGATTTAAATGTTCTTGATGATTCCAACAAACAAAAAATATCACAGAATAAATTTCTGACGAAAAAAATTTTTCGATATAAGGATCGTTCTTTATGAATAGGATCTTATGACAAACTTTTCGAAAATAATCATAAAAAAATCAACATGAAGAAAATTTTCGGAAAAAAATTTTGTAAAAAAAAACTTGAAAAAATTATTCAAACAAAAATTTTTTAAAAAAATGGCGGGTAATAGATAATTGATGACAAAATCACATAATCATTACATTAAATACTATCCAATTGTAAAGAAAATCAACCAAAAATCACATGACCCAATAATAGTAAAACAATTGTGTCAATCAACAAATGTAACAACAAACAGACAAACAACTGAATTACACAAACAAACAAACAAAAATCGAATGACCACAAAATAATAATGCCATACCATCATCATCTCATACATATTAACGACGATGATGATAACATATATTTTGTATTTTGTTGACCTATTGTTTTGATTAACATTTTCAATTTTATTGATCAATCATTTAAAACATTATCATTATCATTTTCATCAATTTTGGAGAAACAGACCAATAATCAATCCATGTTTATAATAAAAACTTTCTACATCTTCATCTAGCAGTATTATTCCCTATGAATCGATCCAGATTTGAAATCTGAACTGCTGAGAATCGAATCCAGAAAAAACCGGTTACAAAATGTTTATATTTTTTTCCAATAACAATAACAACAACAAAAACAAACAAAACATTTAAAAAAAATCGATTAATTTTATTTCGTCATCATTAAAATTTTGAATCAACTCAACCATGATGTTTTTGTTGTTGTTGTTGTTGTTGTTTTGTTGCCGTTGATGACGACAAACCATCACCATCACCATCATCATTATTATTACAGACAATTTTGATTCGAATCCAAAGATTCTTTCGTTTCTCTCTATTTCTCTTTTTTTTTTCTTTCAAAATTCAATAAAAAAAAGGAAACGATGAGAAAAACTTTCTCTTTCGAATGTCTCTTATACACACACACATATACACAATATATCTTGTGCTATATACTGTCCAAACACACACACACACACACAAAACACTAAACCATTCTATTTGGGAAATTCTAGTTTTGTTTTTCGCTGCATTTCGCTTTTTGTTTTCGTTTTTTTTTGGTTAGGCGCGTTCATTTGCCATACCACCAATAAACATCCATATTTTTTGCTTATTCATTCAATTGTTCAATGATATATCGACGAGTTGATATATATACTATTGTGATTGAGATATTGTGTGCAAGCATGTGTGTGTGTGCTACTCATTCTGGTTTTCTGGTAGAAATTCGGCTTGAATTTCCAATTGCATCACATTGTTGTATATATTGTTTTTTTTTTTTGGTATTCTAAAGTTGATTTTGGTGTTGCCCAAAAAATTTTTTCTTCTTCTTCTTCTTCTTGAATGTTATCATATTTAGAGTATATATATAGTTGATGTATACTACTTGTATATATATTGTTTGTCATTATATTAATATTATCATCGGCATCAATTTTGTTGTTGTTGTTGGTTGTGGTGGTGGTGGTGGTGGTACTGCAGCAAGATATTAAATTCCTAAATCAGCCGTTTTTGTGTGTGTGTGTGTGTGTGTGTTGTTTGTTTGTTTGTTATAATGAATGTCGCCCCTTTTTTTTCATATGACAACATTTAAATCACCACCGTTTGTATATGTGTATGTGTATTTGGCCTATCATTGATAATGATAATGATGATTTTGATGATGGATTGTTGATATTTTTGATGATTATGATGATGATGATCAACTCGAATCATATATTGTGTGTAGATTTATTTAGATTTTGTTTGTTTATCCTGTGATCATTTATAAATTATTTTTATTACTTGAGATTTGAAATTATTTCAAACAACAATAACAACAACAATGAAGAATTGAATTAAATTTCAAACACGAATCTCATCAAATGTTTACGGAATCTTTTCCTAAATGAAAATAAATTTGTTTTGTTTTCTCCGTCGATTCAATTCATTTTCAATCAAATTTTTTTTTTATTGTGAATTTTTTCTCAATTGTTGTGTTCGCTGCTTTAGAAATTGTTGTTGTCAATTGATTTTTTTTTTACGAAAAGAAAAATGTCTACACAAATTGTTATACCAACACCAGGTACATCATCTAAATCAAATACAATAAATAAATCCTCATCAACAACAACAGCAGCGGCAGCAGCAGCATCAAAAACAACTACAACAGCTAATCGTTTCCATAATCGTTTTCGTCCACCACGTAAACCTGAAATACAAGTGGATAAAAATGAATTGAAACAAAAATTAACACCATTACAATATAGAATAACACAAGAAAAATTTACTGAAAGGTAATGTTTAAAAAAAAATAAAAAACAAAACAAAATTGATATTTCATCATCTGATCATCATAAAGATCCTCAATTTATTATCTTCATACACACGGTTCAATGATTTTAATGAGTTTTTTCTTTTCATTTTTTTTTATTGGATTATCTGATTTTGTTGTCGTTGATTGTATCTAATCCGTTGATTTATTTTGTCATCGGTATTTATTTTTACCTTTTGCATTTTATTTTTACATTGTACTTATTATTTAAAAGACAAAAGTGTTTTTTTTTTCCTTTGTATAAAAATCCTTAGCTGGTGCAATTAGTCAACTGTGTGCAATACTGATTTTTTATTTTATTTGTCTTGCGAATCTTTCTTTTTCTTTTTGTTTTTTGTTTCCATGATCATCATTTTGTTTGTTTTTTTTTGCATTGATTAAGTCAATTGATGTACTAATTATTTTTATTGTTCTTTTTTCTCACGTTTTAATTTTTCTTTTGTCCCAATTTTAGTACCAATTAATTAATGTGAACTGTTTTTTTTTCTGTCATTTGTTATTATTAAAATTTAGGCCATATTCAGGTGAATATCTACGTCTAAATGATCATGGTATCTATTGTTGTATTGTATGTGGTGAAGAGATATTCTCATCGGAAACTAAATATGATTCTGGCTGCGGTTGGCCAGCATTTTATAATACGATTGATGCAGATAAATTGATCACACAGACCGATCTTTCTCATGGTAAGAATTTATCTTCTTTTTTTGTTGTTGTTGTTTATTCTATTTTGATACTTTGTTTATGAATTTTCAATCAATCAATCATTCAATCGATAAATCAATCAATCACTATTTACAATTTGTTGTAATTTCCATGTTTAAATTGTTTTTTTTCGCTTTCTCTCTATTTGAAATTAGTTCAAAAGGTTTAATCGATTAAATCTTTCTTCCTGATTGAAAGTTTTCCACTATACACTGTGTAAATTTTCGTAAAACATTTTTTCTTTGTTAAAATCAATACAAATCAAATCATTGATTCAAATAAAATCAACAGACATATGTTTATTGCATGCATCAATTGTTGCTCAACGACGACGACGACGACGATCATGGCCATCAATTTTGTTATGGCCTTGGTTTTTTTTTCTTGTTGCTACTAATGAATTCAATGATCGATGATGATGATGATGATGATGATGATGAATATACATGGTGTAAAAATGAAATTCAAACAAACAAGACAGGCGAAAAAAAACATTCAAATATTTCAACCGTATTTTTACCATTTTAAAACATTCGAATAGTTCAAATATTTTAAATTGTTGTATTTTCAGTGATTGTCAACCGTTATTGGAATGATGATCAGATGATGATTGACGTATGCTCATCATCATCATCATCAGCTTTTCAATGATTGATTACTTGATTGATTTGTTGATTGAAAATTCATTTGCATCATTTATATGTGATGAAAAAAAATCAATTAATTTGAATAATCGATTTTTTTTGGTTTATTTACAATCTATAGTCGGTGGAAATCTATTATTATTAGCATTAAATCAAGATCTGGCACGTACAGAGGTAACATGTGCAAAATGTGGTGCACATATTGGCCATGTATTTGATGATGGTCCAAGGCCAACCGGTAAACGTTATTGTGTTAATTCAGCTGCATTAAAATTTATAAAATCTAATGGTGAAGAAGTTATCTGTGATATACCAGCAACATCAGTATCATCGAGCTGCTGTTTTCGTTCGCCCACCAAAATAATTAATTCTAAATCATTATCACCACCAACACCACCAACGCATATAACACAGCCACAATTGTCATCGGATACCGATTCAACAAAGACTAAATCACAATTGTCATCATCATTTGATATAACAAATAAACCATTATTAATACCAACGAAACCATATCGTCAATCTAAACAATCAAAGACAAAGTCATTATCACCTACAACACGTCCTTTAATTGATGGAACAACGAATGAAACAACGTTATCATCAACATCATCATCATTGGCAATACAACCATCATTGCATGCAAGAAAAGTTCAAATGAATAGAGAGGATTTTTTCAAATCATCACAACCATCATCATCATCATCATCATCATCATCAACATTAAATAATATTCGTACAACTAAATATAACGAAATCAATGACCGTATAAAAAATTCATTGTCATCACCATCATCATCGACAACAATAAAACAACAACCAGTGATGGTTTTTAACAATCGTATCAGAAAAATTGCCAACACTTTTGATCAAGAACAACAGAATTCTATTAAAAGTGATTTGAATAACAATAATCAATATAGTAATAATAAAACAACAAATTCAACGACATTAATGACTAATAAATTATATAGTGATGTAAAATCCCGTTATCTTGATCATTTAAATATGATGAGCAAAAAAAGTGTTATTAAACACACATTTACATCATCGGTAACGAAAAAATCATCACCATCAAAAGCTGCTACTACTGCTGTATTGGAAAGTGATTTGTAAATTTTATTTTTATTGTTATTGTTGTTGTTGTTCTGAAGAAATAAACAAATTTTTACATCGATTCGATATTTTTCTTTTTCTGGACCATTTTCTTCTGTGATGTTGCATTTTGTTTATTATATTAATTGTAAATCGTAAAACAAATACAAATAACCCATTTATTTGATTTGGATTTTGATTATATTGTAAAACTTTGATTTTTATTATTAATTAATTTTTATTAAAAATTATTCAATTTCATTACAAATCAATTTAAAAAATAAAATTTGAAAATTTGAAAATTGAAAATAATTTTTTTTCAAATCTGAACTATGGCGCCATCTTTTATCTATGAATTATTATAAAAAACTAGCTTTTAATATTCATCCGGAAGATGGCGTAACAGATGGATCGACAAATGGGCTCAATAGTGACGTGGTCTTCATTTTTTCGGTGTTTGTTGTTTGATCGACCGGCTGATTTTTCCGATTTTTTTATTTTATTTTATTATTACAATTTTGCTAAAATTATCAAATCATGGCCGAATCTATTTGTTATACATTGATTAATGTTGAAACTGATGATACTACTAATGAGGTATCGATACGAAATGATATTGGTAAGTATTTCCGAAAAAACTTGAAATAATTACTAAAACCCACATCACACAGAAAAAGGTGATACGAAATCCAAAATTTTGGCACTGAAAAAATTAATCTACATCATTTTGAATGGCGAAAAATTTCCACCAAACATGTTGATGTTTGTCATCCGTTATTTATTGCCATCGAATGATCATCAGATTAAGAAATTATTATTAATTTTCTGGGAAATTGTACCGAAACGTGGACCCGATGGTAAACTATTACATGAAATGATTTTGGTTTGTGATGCTTACCGTAAAGATCTACAGCATCCAAACGAATATATTCGTGGATCAACATTGCGATTTTTGTGTAAACTTAAAGAACCCGAACTATTAGAACCATTATTGCCCACCATTCGCCAATGTTTAGAACATCGTCATTCATATGTTCGTCGTAATGCAGTATTAGCCATATTTAAGATCTATATGAATTTTGAATTTCTCATACCGGATGCACCAGAATTAGTATTGGAATTTTTGAGCCGTGAGTCCGATGCTAGCTGTAAACGTAATGCATTTCTTATGTTGATTCATTTGGATCAGAAAAAAGCTTTGGATTATTTGAATTCATGTTTGGAACAAATTGGAAGTTTCAATGAAATTCTTCAATTGGTCATTGTTGAATTGATCTATAAAGTTTGTATATCGAATCCGGGTGAACGTTCAAAATTTATTCGTGCAATCTATAATCTATTGAGTATGTCTACATCGGCATCGGTTCGATATGAAGCGGCCGCAACATTGGTTACATTATCGCAAGCTCCTACAGCTTTGAAAGCTGCAGCCAATTGTTTCATTGATATTTGTATCAATGAAAGTGACAATAATGTAAAGCTAATTGTATTGGATCGATTAATTTCATTGAAAGATTCTGCTTCCGGTGCTGAACGTATCCTACAGGATTTATTGATGGACATTCTACGAATACTGAATGTTGCCACCGATTTGGAAGTCAAACAAAAAGTCTTGAATCTTTCATTAGATTTGGTAACTCTACGTAATGTGGAAGAATTGGTTCAATTGTTAAAGAAAGAGATATTGAAAACACAGAATGAATCACATGGAACACAAGAAGAGAATAGCAAATATTGTCAAATGTTGGTCAAAACTATTCATGTTATTTGTATGAAATATCCGGATGTAATTAATTCAAGTAATGTTTTAACTACATTGTTTGAATTGTTGGCCACGAAAAATGATGAAACAACGGCCATACTGGTTATTGTATTCTGTAGGCAATTTATTTCGAAAAATGCTCAACTTAAAAATTTTATCTTAAGTAAATTAATGGAGGTATTTGCATCGATCAATAATGTCAAGGTACATCGTGGATTGATTTGGCTTTTGGGCGAATTTTGTGATGAAAATGCCCTCCAACTACAAGAAGTACTTGAACTTATCAAAACATCCATGGGAGAATTGCCTATCGTTGAAAGTGAACTACGTAAAATTGAAAATGGTAATGAAGATAATGTTAATGCCTACGCAAATCATGATGTTTCCAAAACAGCGGCCAGTTCATCGGCACCAAAATTGGTCACAGCCGATGGTTCATATGCAACACAATCTGCATTAAGTTTGACAACAAAAACTACAGCCAATGAACAATCACAACCACCATTACGTCGATATATGTTGGTGAATAATGAATTTTTTATCGGAACAACAATTGCCAATTGTTTGGTTAAACTATCGCTTCGTTATAAACAGATGGTTGATGTTGATCAACGATCAATTAATATTTATCTAGCTGAATCAATGTTAATTTTGACATCAATTTTACATTTGGGAAAATCTAAATTGGTTACACAAATGATTAATGAAGATGATTATGAAAGAATTTCATTATCATTATATGTATTGATCAATATTAACAATACTGATACGAATGAAATTGAATCATTAATGAGCCAGATTTACATACGTGACACACGACAATCATTAATGAGTATGTTGGATAATTCAAAAGAAAGTGAAATCAAATATGATTCCGTATTGCATAAAGCTAAAAAAGCTGTAGAAATTGATGATCATTTAATATTTTCACAGCTTATTAACAAAGCAAATGAACAGATGGAAAATCTATTAGATGTAAGCCTTAATCAGGCGATTGCTGGACCAACAGCAACATCAACTGCCTCGGGTAGATCATCATCATCCACTGATCTATTATCGGCAAGTCAATTATCCAAAGTAACACAATTAACTGGTCTTGGTGATCCTGTTTATGCTGAATGTTATGTGAATGTCAATCAATATGATATTTCATTGGATGTATTGATTGTCAATCAAACATCGGATACATTACAGAATTGTACACTTGAATTATCCACTATTGGTGATTTAAAATTGGTTGAAAAACCACAGCCAATCGTATTGGCACCACATGATTTCACCAATGTTCGTGCATCGATTAAAGTAACATCGACCGAAAATGTTGTTATTTTTGGCAATATCGGTAAGTGTTTGTGTTTATTTGTTTGTTTGTTTTTCATGTTCAGAATTTTGACATGAAAAAACTTTTTATGAAAGATTCTAATGTTGATTTGTTTCTTTTCTCGATTTAACCTCTTATTTCAATTCTCTCTTTCTCTCTTCTATTTATTTGTTTGTTTATTTGAATGAAAATAAAAAACAAAACAAAAAAAAACAGTATACGATATTTCGGGATCAACATCGGATCGTAATGTTGTCGTTTTGAATGATATTTATATCGACATCATGGACTATATTATTCCAGCTACATGTAGTGATGCACAATTTCGACAGATGTGGACGGAATTTGAATGGGAAAATAAAGTGACTGTCAATACGGGAATCAATGATCTTATTGAATATCTAAATCATTTGATCAAATCGACTAATATGAAATGTTTGACACCACAAAAATCATTATCGGGTAATTGTGGATTTTTAGCTGCAAATCTTTATGCAAAATCAATATTCGGAGAAGATGCATTAGCCAATGTAAGTATTGAGAAAACATCATTAGATGCACCGGTTACCGGTCATATTCGTATACGTGCCAAATCACAAGGAATGGCATTAAGTTTGGGTGATAAAATTAATACATCACAAAAGATGGCTAAAGCTGCTTGAATATTTTACAACAAGAACAACAACAAAAAAAAAATCATTCCCGTCACGAAATAAATTTGATGATGATTCCAGAATGCTTAATAAGCTGAAACCAACCAACCAAAACATATGGGAAAAAGATTAATAAAAAAAAATATATATTCCAGAAGAATATCACAAGCATCAAATATGCAAAAATAAAACCACAATCAACTAACCAGAATCAAAAAAAAAAAAAAAAATTCAAAAATCTCATTGTCGTACATATGATAATCTAACAAAAACATTTGATTCAAAAATAGAAAATCCAACAGCAATTGATGAGAGAGCGAAAGATTTACAGTTTGAATATTATTTTTTTTTAAATTGCCATTTTTTTTACTTTGAATAAATATGGTTAATATCCTAAAAATGTTTCTCACAGACTTTATTTTTATTTTTAAATTTTTTTTTTCTTCAAATGTCAATATTCACGATGGAGACATGTTCCATTATCATCATCATCGTTATTATTACCACTTATGGTGAATATTTTTCATTCTCGCTGTTTATTTCGTTTTTCGTTGTTGTTGTTATTATTATTATTATTAAAATCAAACCATTTCTATTGTTTTCACCGACTGATAATGTCTAGGAATATTTGATGGCTTTAGCAAACAACTAAACCGACCAAATAGGAAAAAAAACTGAATTGTTAAACAAATGGATGGCTCCAACACTCAAACGCACACATACACACACACATACACGTACACACAGCTAGAATCCTAAAGTAGGAATCCGAAAAAAAAGAAAGTAAAATAGAATTCTAAAAATGGCTAGTCGTTGTGCCAAAAAAAAAAAACAAAACAAAACAAAAAAATTCCATGAATCTCATTGATTTATTGATGTTTGCAACTTTATTATGTCCGAAAAAAAATACGATGGAATTTTTCGCTATTGTCGACAATATCGTGTAGTTGTGACCATTTTTTTTCGCTTTGCTTTGCTTGCCCAATTTAACGATCGACACGATTTGAAATTCTTGTTGTTGTTGTTGATCGAGTGATGGCTCATCTTCTTTCTCAGCTTTAAGAGTTTTATTCACATTCATTCCATACATTCATCGAAATTTATATTCAATGATGATGGATATCATCTCATTTACATTTATGCAAATTTGTTTTCGTTCAATTCTAAATATTATTGTTATTCCAATATAACTGTTTAATAATAAAAAAAAATGATCATCACTGATGCTGTTTATCATGGAACTTGAATCAATTTTTTCTTAAATATTATTTTTCTCACCGTAAATTTTCATTGATAAAAAAAACTTTTTTATTCCAATAAAATTAACTTACAAACACACACACACACACATAATGAACTAAAAAAGTGTTAATGACTCGATTGTTCATTATTACAACAATAACAACAAACAAATCATTCCAGATGATCCATCT